ACACAGCTAGGCCGAAGATGCAGGTTATTTATAAGGTTGCCGTTCCTGGCATGCTTTTCCCATCCTCGGACCAGCAGACTCCCTCTCTGTTTGGAAACCCGCGCTGCGCCCCTCGGTCCGCGACGCGCAAGTTCCGATTTACGCTCGTCTGCTTTTACTGTTACTCGATGGCGGCCTTCGGTAGTTAGCTAATAGCATGCTCCCCTTGGTTTTATAAATGCTCAACAGGCTCTCAGACGACGGAGGAACGAAGCAACGCAGGAGTCGCTCCCACGAAAGTCAAACAATAGAGCTTTACGAGAAGGGAATCGATCTGCCGCGCCGTGCGCTCCGATGTCTATGGCTGGTTCCGTACTATCTCTTCGCTTCTTCGGGCTTCCTTTTTCCCGATGGGATGACTGCGTGATTCCCGCACCTCTCTGGAGGGAGTTGAATAAGGGTATCGTGACTACACGGTACACGTCAAGTGAATGATCAGAGCTCCCGAGCATCCACTTCTGTCGAGGACACCCACATAGGCACTCGGAGGACGCGACGCGCTCTCTCACTCTAACAACGGGAAGAAAGGAAATTAATCATGAGGCACAAATCGCACACAATTGGGGAATCTGATTTTGAATTAAATTTCCGTGAAAAATCGCTGAAAATAGGTTCTTTCCCAGGTTCAATGTTCCAGGTATTTTCTTTTTAATCGTCGTAGGATGATCTCGCGCGATGATGCTTCGTGGCTCGTACCCGCTGCACCGACCTGATTAGTTTTCAATTCTGCGCGATCGCAAAGTCTCATTTTCGAAGACTCTTGGTTTTTCTCGAAAAAAAGAGTAAATATGAGCGATGAGACAGCGATGTTGCACACAGGAGAGTGTCGAGAACCGCAGCTCAAGTACGATGTATGATTGTATGTGGAGAAGTGATAATAATCGATGGGCTGCTCGGTGTCCTGTGGGCGGATAGCTCGAGCTCCGTATTATGAGCGATGGCTCTTGGTTTGCTAGTGCTGCCAAGCGAGAGAGAAACTCGTAAGCGGAGGAGCGAGTGCCACCCGCTGCTAGCTTGGCCGACTATGACACGATGTGCGGCTCTACGACGACGGAGGAACGGCTGACAGCGGATCCCCGGTTGGCATTTCCCATAGACACCCTTGTTATTAAGTAGCCTAGAACGTGACGGGCATCTCCTGCTCGACGAGCTTGAGAAAACAGCGGCGATAATCTTCGTTCCGTTTCGCTCAACAATGCTCCTCAGTACATGCCCTGCGGCGGCCGCTGGGGACCGAAAGCTGAGATTGTCTAGGCTATTCTTGGGTCGCGCCCGCTCCGCTCTGAATATCAATGATACACTCGACAGAAATCCGAATCGTTTTGTGCCGATCATATGTAGTTCGGTGTAGGTTACTCACAACCTCCTCTCGCCATCCGATTCCCTGGTCCCACTCGCACCTCGAGTAGTGTCGTGGCTTTCGGAACGTCTAAGCCGATTCACAGTGAGAGCCTTCGACTGCCGCGACCGATACGGTGCTGCCAAGCATATGACGCGGTCTCACGCAAGTTCCCCACACTCCGGAGATTTCCTTCGTCAGATTCGGTCCTCATCGAGATCAAGTGTCGCAATAGCTCATCCAGCCACCTTCCTGAATAATTTTGTTCGTGAAGCACGCTCGACTTCTTGGGATTCGGCGATTCTTCTGTCGATCGATGCACTGTCGCCGGTACGATTCTAATGTTCGGTTCAGAAGAGAGCCCTTATCGGCAGGGAAAGATCGAGGCATGATATATCATACATATACATGAACGTGCTATAACTGATACAAAGTATCATCGTGATTCGTGAAAAATAATGATTCCATATCTGTATCGTAGTTTCGGAACATTCCGGCTCCGCTGAGTCTCTCACGCATGGAATCTAGGTTTGGCATCCGAGAAACGGGGACTTCCTCCCTCTTGGGGGAAAAATATCCCTCACCTCGGGAGAATTATTGTTTGCGAGAACCCACCGAAGAGAGCGCGTTTCAATCGTTCCCGAATTTAGAAACTTCATCGCCGTGCTTTCTACGATTCATCACACAGAACTCGAGAGCTATCTCCTTCTCGCGTGGGCTATAGCGGCTCTGTCGTAACGCATCCTCCCACCTGATGTTCTTCGAAATTACTCCGGGCCGCCTCCGGCCATTAAAAATAGCGAGATTGGCCAACACGACCTGCTACATTAATTTTTCCAACATCCCTTCCTACCAATGCCACCATAGGACTGTTGAGAGAGGCTTTCCCCAGGTCTTGGAGTTTTCCACTCAGCCCTGTGAGTTTGCAGTATGAGTTATGAATTCATGTCTCAAACATACGCAGAAAATTGAGAATAACTCTTTTGTCAGCTGCAATTCATGCCATTCCCGACGCTCTGATACACCGTGAAAGGCGCAGAAGACGGTTCACCACGACCTACCTATTTCACGGTCTATGAGATGTCCCCGGCAGGAATTTCCTGCTCTTAGTGATGACCTTTTGCATGAAATTCGCCAAAACAGCCCTTATACCGTAGACTTCCATCGCCGTACAACAAGCGTACGCGCTTCTATTCATGCGGGAAGAGGTTGGAAGTGTATACAATGGATCATTGACGAATTTGGAGCGCCCGAGCGGGGGATCTACAGCAAGGAACTACATCCAATAATCTCTAAGGTCGGAAGTCTTCGGACTACGAGCCGTCGCATTGAAACGAACAAGTCAGCAATCTTAGGCTGCTCAAGCAGTAAGCTCCGTGCCGTCATACATTGCCCCCCGGAACGATAAGCCATGTCCTCCTCTTCACAGCTGGGGGAGCGAATCGATCGAAAAATCACTGAATGAGAATCACCGAGGCGTCCGTGCACTTCTCGAAGCAGATGGATGCTGGAAAACAACCAATCGCCGTTTCGTAGGTTCGAAGGAGATGAATCCCGACCATGCATGAGGGAGACCGGAATCGCCCCCGTGTTGGCCTCGAAGGCTCGATACCAGAACGCGGCTATCAGTGGCATGCTTGTAGATTGTGGACCTGGCAGTCTTTCATTCCTGACAGGTCCCTTGATATCCATTAGATATGGCTTTCCTAGATGAGAAATTCTAAGCTCTGCAATCCGAACAACGACCGTCGCGTCAGGTCTCGGAATAAGCTGCCTCAGCTCCGCTAGGCGCTCACGATCTTATTGAGCGATTCAAGAACGCTACTATCGTTCGCACAGCGGGCTCTGTTGCGAAGCCCGACTGAGCATTTGGAGCGATGTTCTCGAGAAACGATATTTTCGGGAAGTCAGCCGTCGAGTTATTTCGAGTGAAGCTCATTCGTTTGAGACGACGGAACTGGCCTTGAAATTTTGCATCTCAACCCCCCTTCGCAAGAATCGAACTCGCTGCGAACATGCCGAGAGACGAGACAAACGGGGATGTCTTGCTTACGCTGGTGCATGAAAAAATGAGCGCGCTCCGAAATCTCTACGTCGAGCAAAAAGAGAAATTCAGGCACGCTAGACTACGATCACTCATCGACGTTGCTCCCGACGAGGAATTGGAAAGAACTCCACATAGGACTGAGGCTCGACTCACGGATGAACGGGAAGTAATCCGCATCGGGCTTGATGCAGTTTCCTCCGCTACCTCCAATAAGATCCGTCTGCTTCGATTGTGGGTCGGAGTGACCGTAGTCTCCATGTCATTTCTCATCGGTTTCTTGTTGTTGAGCCGGATTGACGCTTAGTCTCACACCGAGCGCAGAGGCGGAAGCACCGATCGTGGAGTCATCGTCAAAATGAGCATCGTCGGGTGCAAGTGAGTGATAGTGGGAACTGCGACGATCAAGTTCAGGTCTCCCTGCCCCGGTCTCGCATGCCATTTCGTACGAGTGAAGCTTCCTTTGCATCACAATTGACGACACAGTCGTAATCCAGAATGTTAGCAATCCAGAGCGGATCAATTTGAGAGAGTAATTCCATCGGTTCCACTGTGACTGTTCAGAGCCGTCCTCCGTATGTTTCGTTTTCCTCATATCCTCGCCCAGAGCTCAAGGCTCCACGCATTCCGCATTCAACAAAACCACGAATTCAAGCTCCCGCGATTCGTCGGATTTGACGATCGCGGTTGACGGATACATCATCCGCCGATCTGGGGAACCATTGGCAAACTAGGTACTATAAATTTCGATAAGCTGCTCGGTTTGAAAAGGGGATCATGCCCGCTGAGTCCTCTCAAACGGATTTCTCCCGGTCGTGAGAAGCGTATCCGCAGTCGTTAAACAGATTAAGCGAGATTTCTCATGCATCGAATAGCGGATTCCGGAGTCTCGGAGACATCGCAGGAGAGGAGCGAGCCTTTCAGGGCCAGGGATCATCGTGCCTGGAGTCTCTAGAGACATTTTTCCAGACGATAGTTCATCCGATATATTTTCATCAGACGGGGATGCCGAGAGAATGATGACTGCTCCAATCCAATGGCCTCATTGAGGATTGAGGTTTTCCCTCTTCCTCATCCTTCTCTTCCAGCGCTCGAAATCTGACCGCTCCGATGGATCGCGACTGACATGGAACGTGACCGACTTATCATGTTTGAGATCCATGGATTCCTTCATCGCCTGCATCGACCAACATCAATGGATCAGATGCCGAGAAAAAGAGGAAAGAAGAGTTTTCCATCGCATCCTCGATTTCATCACTCCTACCCGTATCCCCCCTTGTGGTAAGATTGGAACGCCTCCATGCCTCGGTCGGGAGTCCTACTTAATTCTCGGCTTGAACTCGTTCACAAGTTTCTGACGGCTCCACGCCATCCCGACTTGGATTTCAAAGACTTATTCCAGCGATCGTCGGATGGGGGCTTACGAAAACCTGGGCCGCCTTTTCCGGTCGCGGTCGAGAGGCATGGGGGTTCCTCACAGTCCCGATTCCGTTCCCCGACTATTGAACTGCCATTCGAAAACCTCATTCTACTCAGAGTCTGAGTTCGATCTGCGGATAGAAAACATCGAGTCCTCGCTTGAGTAAAATAATCCCTCTTTTATATCAAATCCTAGCAGAAAGACCGCATTTATGGTGAAATCATGGGAACATTCCTGATTACGATCAGGATTCAGCCTATTAGGCTGCAACGTGCGCTTCAGGTTCAAAAATTTCCGCGGAATACAGAAATTGCTCGAAAAGATCCCGCGTCCTCTATGTATGCATGAGTGTGTAGGAAGATAGGTACGATATCATTCGATTATGAGGGGGTCTTTCGGTGCGAGTTCCCTCTCTTGCCGGTTTTTGATGGCTTTCTTGAACTCCTGGGGGAAAGTAATTATGCAAGTTAATAAGAATCGCCGACTCCCAATCGAGCTTCTGATGAGAATATGCATGAACCCTCGGCTTACCATCAGTCGTCTGCGAGCTTCTTCATTATGCTTGTTGCTTTCGACCGCGTCGTTCTTCGACGCAAGGGGCTTCTTCTTCTGTACGGCAGATTTGGTCGTTTTCTTAGTGTCGGACGTATTCTCTTCGGGTTCCCGCCAGCCGTTCTCTTTGAGACGCTCAATCGCTGTGAAACTCTCCATAACTTTCTGGATTGGGAGTGAAATCATGTCCCAGAAACCTTAAAAATAGTCAGAGAAATCTCGATCATTCGGAGATTTTCAATGAGCCAGTCACGGTACAGCTCATTCATAGTTAATCTCCAAGCTGTTTCGATAGGGGCTCACCTTCCAGGTCTGCTTCCGTCGTGGGAAACTGGGCCGAAGACTCCTTGTCTTTCACAGCGCCGGCCTCGGCGATATTTTTTAAACAGAGCTCGCGGAACTGTTTGCATTTTCCTTTAAGGAGTAAAGCTCCTGACCCGACAGCCATGTCGATGCGTGACGAGATATCCTCCCTGGAAAATTCGAACTTGCATCGAAATCTTCACGGGACCTATTCGTTCTATGTGTGGTTGACGACGAGCGCTGAAGAATACCGAGACATCGAGCTCCCGAGAAGACACCTTTTCCCCTCAGAAGCTTAGATGTCTCCGCTATTTTGTGCCTTCCACTGCTGATACCGATCCACAATGAAAACCCATCCTCCCTGACTGCCGCCATGCGATCCGCATGTTCAACATGATCGATAGGACAGGCATGATCTGCGAATACTAGCTCGCTAGGGTGAGAGTAGCCCATGGGTCGTCGCGGCTCCGTCTGTATATGCACGCGAGTAAGAAGCCTTCGAGACTCCGAACGCTCGATACATATTCGGCAGCAGTCGAATCGAAAGCTGAACGAGAATCGGCCGTTTTGGGTCACAACTCGACCGTAGCAAACGGCCGAAAATTTGACGGGAAATCCGTTGGAAAGAAGCAACACCACGAAACGCGGAAACCGTTTACCGGAAGAATTATTCAACTGTTCGGGCTGTATAGAACGACAAGAAAAATGATGCTCTTTTGCCACGTCCGCTGCGCTGTTTTCCACCTCCGATCTTTTTTATCACCATTTTCTCCGGCTCGCACCAATTCGAGCTCTTAAACCTCCGAAATCCCTGTATGTTCTGAATTTCCGGACTTCCAGCGATAGTTTCCGTCGGATCGAGTCCGCAGAGGGTAGGAGTTGCAAATTACTTCCGGAGCCACTGCTCAAACCCTGACTCGTTGCGTGAAACAACGCGGTTCGAGAAGTTCTCGCTACCCTCTAACTCTGAACAAAACAAATTATTTACCTGTTATCTTCTGGCAGTGCGGTTTGTAGATGATTGATTTTTTCACTGCGTGCCCGAATTTCAGCTTCAGCTGTCTCGAGTTTAACCAAGAATTCGTGTCCCGGTGTCATCTGTAATTTATCAGAAAAAATTATCGGATACGTGAATAAAGCGTTCGGATGGTGCGATTGCTCGAGGCAAGCGGTGTTCGCGTGCTCTGAGCCGAGGTGATTGTGGAAGACATTCCAAGCGAAGCTATTCGACTCATCCATGAGGCAGCTTCCAATTCAGATTTTTTTATCATCCCATTTCAATGAGCTTATAGCGTCGGGTTCCCGATTAGCAGGGTTTTCTTAATCCGGCTGGATACGACCACTCAAGAGGAACGAGAGGTGGTGGAAAAATGAATGAGTCCCTGTTGAAAAATAGGTCTGGGCCCGCTCATACGTCGAAGGACACATCGGGCGTTCCGCTTCTAAAAATCGAGACTCTCGTGGGAGCCGGGGACGGAAGAAATGTCAATCAGTGATCGGCGATCTGGTTCCCCGAAGTCGCTAGCTGGTTCTCCAAGCGGCTCCCGTACTCATTGTTTCGGGGCGCTTGAGAAGTCGAACACAGGAGCGAAAGAACGTAATTCCTTGGTGCTCGGTTGCACCATCTCCTGGTCAGAGCCGCCGAATCGATGAACCGGGACTGGAAAGTCCCGTCAGAAAATGGTTCGATGACAATAGCCTCGCAATCAGGTGGTGCTCAAGCCCACTCTGATTCCTGAGGAAAAATGTTCGGAGCTTCTCAAAGGGAGGCGAACAGGCGGAGAGAACATCCCGCTCAGGGAACGAGTAAGCTGCGCCGACATACGAACAAGCAGGTAAACAGGAAGTCAGGCAAAGTCGAAAGCCTCGGATCGATACCGGCGACTTCGACCAGCACGACGGCGACGAATAGAGGTCTCACGAACTGCACTGCTGCGGCCTGCGCTGTTACCCCAGTCGGCGTTCGTTTCGTCGGATCAGGCATCGGAACCGAGCTCTTTTCAATTGCAAATAGTCCGCGGCGTTCGATCTCAATCAGGCTCGTGATCATTGAATATTGCTGCAGTACAATAATTCCGTAAAGAACACGAGAGGTGCTAGGATGGCCGAGAAGAGAATGAGCTGACTGAGCATCGAATTCTGGAGAGGGAACGGGCCGATCGGGATCCCGCGAATTTTCTGCGAGAACTTGGCGTGGGATACAAAAAATGTGTTCCTATCCCACAGATGAACAGAGAACCCGTCTGCAGGAAAATCCGACGAGGGATATCGGGGAATAGTTCCACCTGAGCAACCGGGTATATAGACAGCCGGCCCCTCGTTTCACCAGTCAGTCCTTGAGCTGCTCGGATGGACGGGGTCAGACAGGAGAGAAAAGAATAGAAATGATCGTTATTCGAACAGAGGCAGCGGCGGCGGCAGAAGACGCGGTTCCATCACCGTCGGCAGCTGGTACAATGGCTGAAAGGAAAAAGAATCGGATCCCCTCCTTCTGGCCGACATTTCGGGCTGAACAAGCAGCGATTCCCGCGACTGAGGATGGATCCGAAAATCGAAAACAGACACTTCCCGCCTCCTTTTGCCACTAGACTTATCAGAGGTGACGGAATCCTGAGCGAAGAATTTAAAACTCCGAGTAATCCCGAATGCTTCTCGCAAACAACTCGGAAAATATGGGAGTGGGCTGGCCCGCCGCTGAATCTCAACCTGAGGTTATGGTTTGCCCTGTCTCTCAATTTATCGAGCGGCCGCGACGTGATCCGCTCCTCCATCCGGTCCAAACGGAACACATTCGTGAGCAGAAAATGCTCATCAGCCGTTTAGGGAACAAACGAAAACGAACACGAAAAGAAGAAAATCCAGGCGGAAGTTTCAAACGCAGTCGAATGTGACGCCGTTTTTCTTCCCATCGGGTCCCGGAGCACTCATAGAAAGTTCACCGGGCTTCGACTGTATTAGCGGTTAAGCTTGGGACCTCGCTGCCCAAGGATTGGAAACGTCGAGTTTTCATCGGAGCAGCCAGTTAGGCTGTCTGTGAACGACGAATAACTTGATTTGACCTCGCCTCCTCGTGCTCGCACTGAGAACTTCTGTCTCCCCAGAGTTTCTAATGCGCCACGACTCCTAACGATGCTCGGCTCCTGAACGACGTGCTTAACCTTCAGACGAGAATCGCTGTTCCAACGATCGTTTTCGACAACGTCTCCGTATCACCTACTGTTCGCCCCAAAGAGGGAGAAAACTTCATGACGGAGAATGTGTCGACGATTTCATGGGTCCATGAATTTCCTTGACTCATTCGCGACTTAGCCGGGTTTCACGAGGAGTTGATCATTCTTTCCGGAGCTCGTCGGCCGCTCGCAACTCACGAATTCGGTGGAAGCTCTGAATCCAGGGCGAAGATGTCAAACGTCCCGGTGTGCTTGAACCGCGGGACGCTCTGCCGTGAGCCTGATGCATTGTGCGTAAGTTAAGAATGGAACAATCACACCGTCATTAACTGCTCAAGGCATGGGTCTCTAACAATCGCCCTCGGGACGGCTTAAACGACGCTTTTCTTTTTCAGAGTAAGTGACGGTGGACCTCCGCAGAACCATCGAAAAAAAACTTAAAAGCCACCGTGCGTTCTCGCGTGCGATGCCTGCCCAAAACTAGTGATGATGCTATCAGCCGGAGCGTACTCGGCGATGAGAGTAGGGAGGTACCTTGATGTCAGAAGCGATTTTGGTCGATCCTCGTTCGGGGAGCAGCGTGGCGTTTCCGACCACAGCGACACTCTCTCGACTCAAGCACCACGGCATTTCAGAACGATGTCGACCCTCCGTGGTGAAAATGTGAGCTCTTCCACTCGACTCCCCTCCTCTCACTCGTCGGTTTCCTAGTCTTGTTCTCCTATTCTGGCTGCCGTCCCATCAGGTTGGGCTGTTTGTTGTCCGCGTACGCAGCTGAATCCAATCCAGAGAGAGTCATTCGAATCGAATCATCATTTCCGGACTGCTCACGGTTCGCGCCTCAGTAATGTACTTTCCGAGCGAGGCAAATCGTCAAAAGCGAGCACTGCGAGCATTGCTTTAAAAAGGAAGGCAGAGCTAATCTGGGCTTGGCACAATCACGCAGTACTCCGAGAAGTGGATCACTCAGTATTCCGGGAATCATGTGGTGCCCGTTTTTCTTCTAGACATCCAAAACCCAGACGCCCGTAGCCGGAGGAGGTGCTCGACAGACGTGTCGGAGATGCTTGGCGGTGTAGCCCGAGAGAAACGGCGACAATCTTCTCCGAATGAAAAATGAAATGAGCTTTGAACGGAAAACCGTTGGAGATGGAGGGAAGGAGTGCGATCTTGCATCGAGTCCACTCGAGATCGCCAAGAGCTCCCGCGGAATTGTGAAAGGAACCGAATTTCGCCGACCGGCTTCCGGTACACGATAGAATCCGTAAGAGATAATGAAGTGGAGCGGCTTCAGGGAGAGAGGGTCATCTGAGGGGCAGCCCATCACGATGATACAAGATTTCTAAACAATGCGAGTGGCAGAACCTGGAACACATTCTGACGAGACTGAAGTCCCTGCGATGGAAATTCTAGGCTCCTCCAGAATTCCGTTCTGATCGCTGAATCGCTCCTCATGACTTATGACTATGACACATTTTCCGCGGAATTGCCCGTTCTCGAGGAAATCAGTCCTCGAGGTGATTGGCAATTTGTTCGCTCTTCGAACCGTCATGAGGAATCCGCCGTGATATCTAGCGGGTTGAGGTGGATCAACAACAATACCGACGAAATGACACTTCACGAGAGATTCACTTAAACACAAGTACGATCATAATACTGAACTCACGATTCTCGACGGCCGATATATAGTCGTAGGGAAAAACTTCCAGCTCACAATGAAATTCCGGGTCGACACAACGACAAACGATGTCTGTCTGCTGGGAAAAGGTGGCTTTACCGGCGGCCCCCAATACTACTACTACAACTACTGGAACAACGGCACCTCTGCTCTGGAGGAGAAGGGAACAACGCGCCTCTTGAAGAACGTCGTGTAGAGGGCGCTCATGTAGACAACGAATTCTGAGCCCGCGTAATTTCAAAACTCACAGAAAAAGACTGTCGGCCTGCACAATTTTTCTATCGCCGGTCCTCACGAGGCACAATCATTACCCCCGTGGAAGCTCAGGAGGGCAACGTTGTAAAGCTAGCGGTTTCTCATCGGGTGGCGCGACCAGCTTCACGATTGGCGTCCACGCGATGATGCGTTGGTAGAGCCTGTTGTTCCGGGACTCCTCCTCAATGAGAGTAGGCAGCAGGGAATCGAATGAGCTTCTCGCTCGACAAAGTCATGAGCGGTGAAGTGTATCAACACAGTTTTTTGTACGGGGAGCTCTATTGGAAGAGCATCGTCCATGGTGATCAAATTTCCCGAGAGCCCACATCTGCACGTCGCTTGGCTCAAATAAAACGGACGAAGTCTCCCTCTGACCTTGGTTCGGTCGAGCGCCAGGATCGTAAAAAGGATCCGAGTTCATAGAACTCGATGACGTCATCTCGGCTATCTAGTTCCGTGTGTGCACTCGATCGCCCTTCAAGCAAATGGAAGTGTCCGGGCAGGATGGAGGGAGGTTCAACGCTCCGGTACAGCTGAATCGAGCTCGATATATCGAAATGGATTGCGGAAAAAAACTATCCTCCCCGAATATTCGGTGGGGCGGTTGAACAGCCTTGTTATTTCGAAGCAGAAGAGTCGTCGATGCGTCGACTTCCTCCAGGGTAAGAACTCGGAAAAAGTATTCCAGCTTGCCTCTCAACTGTATTGTTCCAGTCGCCATTCCAGGGACAGTCGAGTCTCCGCGAAACACTCGTCTACTGTCTGGATGAGACGCAAGTTTCGGCGGGGGATCTAAGATTTTCTTCTAAGAAGAGCCAGCTTCCCCTCGCCCGCCCCCTCTGGATCCACCATGGACGGGATCTCTATGACTTTGAAGTATCACTGTATCGAGATATATCCATGAACCCCTAAGGCATTCTTTCGGCATGATGATATGTGCGATGGAAAGTCGGAAGAGCTCTCAGGAGAGTGGGAGGAGTGAGCTTGCGAATTCCAGCCCGGTAGGTTCCAGGTTCCGGAAGAAGGACCGAGGATATTGAACGAGAGATCGATGGAGCTTCCCTGACACCGGCAGAGAACATTTGAATGATTCGCAAAGAATATTCTGTCACTGACATGAGGAGAAACTCAAGAACTGATGAGAAAACTGAACTCAATGGCTTCGTCACTGGGTCTGGACGCTGAGCTCTCCGGGTCGATGGCAGGACGGCGCGCTTCAGTTAGGTTGGTGAGATTCTCGGGCAAATATTCCGTGATGGCCACCTCGTGGCAATTATGACTTACCGCGGTTCTCGAGCAATAGCTCAACTCGCAGGGAGAACGACTGATCTAGCCAGGCTTCTCTGTGCCTTCCGGGGATCGTCTGGAGCTTACCACCAAATCTCAATTCACCGGAGTAGTCTCTGATTGAGGCTCGTTTAATGTCCACTCGAACACGCGCGGGAGATTCGTGCGAACCCCTGCAAAAGACTCCCCATCCGAACTTCCCGAGAGGGCTCGATTCCTGATTCTCTAGTCCACATTTGCCAGAGTGGTCGAGTGGATCGGACCTTTGGATTTTTCGGCCATTATTCAGCAGAGAATGTCGTCCGACTACTCGAGCGTCGGATTCGTTTCGATCGAGTCTCTTGAGAGCCTAGATGATAATCGACTTAGAGTCTCCTACCTCAGCTTGTCGGCCTTCGCTACTTTCCGTCAAGCATTCCTCGGTGTGCATCATCTGCACGCTCGAGTCCGTCATAGATTTCGAAGGACTTCTGAATTCGGTGAGCTTCCGTAGAATGTATGAAGCCTAATCCATCAAAGCCCAGAAGATGCTTCCTTCTCATTTGATATGTTATTTATTCAATAACACATACGCATCATATAATACGCAGTTTCTTCCTGGTAGCGACGGGATCGAAATCCGAGTTTGCTTTCAAGTCTAGACTCTGGAGTTTGGTCTAGACTAGGCTCTAGAGAGAAGATAATCAGAGGAGAGAAATTCGAATGATTGAAGTCGGCATCATCTCCCAAATTACTTGAAGGGTCGAAGGGTACCGCATACACCCTGGCTCTGACCCCATGTGATCGGGGATCCAAGGGCATTGAGTTCGAAAAAGCGGTTTTCACAATTCTGAATGACAAGTTGATGATCTCATGCGACGGAACCCTATGAATCTCAATCGGCCGTGGACGATTGCACCACCACGCTGACGTAGGTGACAGACGCACCCAAGGTCGTCATGAGAGCCGCTCGATCCAGTTTGTAGAAACGCCACGCGGTCATTTGCACGTACTTGACCTGCATTTGTGACAGGAGCAAACGAATCTGCGCGGAAAGGTCTTCTCTTTGAGCATCTCAATCAATTTTCGTGAAGGGATCAGGATAGAGTAACTCTCCTGAAGAAATGTCACCCTCATTCACCTGCTGGGAGCCTGCTGTCATGTTCGCGAAGCCGGCACCGTAGTTCTGCAGGAGATCATGTACAATCCTCATCGATCTCTTGGGCGATTCGCACAGCTTCGACGTCGATGCGGTCGTGATCGAGATCATCGTCAACAGATACGTCATATTGAGCGCGAAGGTGAAGAATGTCAACCACGATTCGGAGATGTCGAGACCTCTCTCGTAGCGCTTCAAGTGAGCAGGAGAGATGATTCTATTTCAGAGTCGCCTTCAATTGGTTAATCCCTTCCAAGAGGGCACCCGACATCCTCAATTCCGGAAATCTAGGTCAGATTTTCCCCGGACCAAAAGCTGCTCTCAGGCCGGTCTTCGTTCCCATCTAAATTACTTCAAAGCCATACATGTATGCTTGGTCGAGAAGCTCACCTGAATGAACCTCAGAGTTTCCGTGCAATATCCCGCGACGACCCCGCCGTGTAAGAGTAGAGCCAGGGGAGAGAATAAGTCATCCATGAAAATAATCAATTGACACAAATCCGCGTGGAGGAGCCTCAATCTCCAGATGTGGTTGGGGCCTCCTCGATTACGCAGGCAGTCTCTTATATCGCTGTCGAAGTTACTGAACTTTGTGAAGGCCAACTAGAGAAGAAGAAACGAGCGCTCAGTCGACAGCTACGAACCCAACTCCTCTCGACCTTGGAGGGACGACAAGGTAATGTCTCGGATACTCACGAAATTGAAAACAATGTAGGTGACTTGGTTCAGGAGCAAAGCGACAGACGTGATAAGGCGATTGAACATCATGTCTACGAAGGCATAGCACAAGATGAGAGGATACATGTTCGGAGGTACTCCCGCGGGATCGATAAACATTTCTGACTCCATGAAGACAGGCATCAGATTTTCCGAGTAGAATGTCGCTATGTCCAAGAAAATCCTCAGAGAGACGTACCCCCAAACCAACATATTCATCCGGGAAACCAGACGAGAGACCCATTTGCGCGACTCCTCTGCAACGTAACAGCGACTTACATCCAAGCGTCACTCCGCTATATCCATTCGTCCGACTACGAAGTATAAGGCTAGAGAAAACTTGAGGCTTGGCGGAGCTCGTCGAAGGAGTCAGGCCCAACGACATCTTCTCCTTGTGACTCGTCTCCGATAATGCTTGGATGGTTGTTCTCTGACCTCGGTGAGAGAAGCTATCGGAGAGCACGATAACCTGGTTGACTTCAGTAAGCTTTCTTGACAGCAGTAACAATCCGACGGTGGCGACCGTGTTCCTGCCGAAGTCGCTGACTCCAGCTCGGAAGTAACTTCTCGCGAAAAAATATTTCATCGTGAACAGACCGAGTCCACGGAACCACCAGAACTTGACCATGAAGCTGGCGAATCTGATATACCGCATGAATCTCCGGGAGTGTTTGTAGTGTCTGCGAGAGTACATACGAATATTGAGCATCGGACTTGTCGATTTTGCATTTCCGAGGACAGTAGGCTCACCCTTTTGTCTCGACGGGTCTCACGAAGGGTCCCACTCCGAGAAACTCATTGGTGCGCAATATGGGCCCCAAGATCGAAGCGGCTCTATCTTGAGACATAACTGGAAAGGAATCTCGCATCGGGCGTGAAAGTCCCAGAAACAAAAGGTCTTCCCAAGTTGCACTGACTGAGCAGTATCGAGACGTCTGCGTTGGCTCAAAGGAGCTACCATTTCTCCGTGTCGACGTAGGGGGAGAGAACTGCGACAACTTCGACATGTGACCTGCTAGCTTCATTAAGTTTCGCAAGACAGTCAAGCTTATGCGAGCGATCCGAGCCTTTCAGATATCTCGCGATCAATGTGTGGACTTGCTATATTTTGGAACACATGCCTCCATCCGAGAATTGCGAATCTGACCGAACGAAGAGCTGCTGTTGAGACACCGATCCTGCCTTCAGTCATGGTGTCTGCTGCGAATCTTGATACCTTGAATTGCATGCTCTCGCGTAATACGCATCGATCGCACATTGAAGGGAAATTTTGCGCTCATTATGCAATTCCGTTTTTTCCGGAGGAGAGACACATTGCCAAAGGATTCGGCGGAGAGTCCCCCACCATCACCAGGAAGATGTCTGTTCATGCTGATGGGTATAGATTCATTTACTTTGCCATAGTTACAATACCGGTCAATAATAATATTCATAAGCTCGCATGCAGTCATGTCTCATACTCGGAAAGGCTATCACTCCGCAATTACAATTTCATAGGCTCCGTGAACGTGCCACCTCGGGAGGATTCCGCGCGCCTCTAGAGGCGATCGAGGGTCCCGCGCGCAGACTAAAAAAGTTTTTCACTTCGATTCACAATTTAAAGTACTGTCCATGAGCCGATTTCGCTCATGAATAGCATCTCAAGTCACTGAATGTGGGAATTATTTTCCCCGGATGTGGAAAATTTTTCCAGCGTTCCGCAATGAACTCAGTCAACCTCCTCAAAATCAATGTTTTCCTCTGGGTCTGTGTGTTTGATCTCTTGAACTTTGCCGCCCGTGGCGTTCGTGTCAGAGTGTTCCTCCTTCATATGGAGTTTCAAACACCAATTATCATTGCATTTTTCCCGGCACAAGGGGCACCACTGGAAGTTCTTCTTCAAGTGCTGCTCTTCGTGGTAACGGAGCACCTCGGGTAGCTCAAATTCCTTGCCACACCTCCGACAAGGGTAGATTTTCGAAGGCTCTTTCGATAACGTGTGCAGGTTCATGGTACTGTTGCACCTTATGCAATGACAGTTCAGTCGGGGATGTTTCGAGGAATGGCGCTTAAGAGCCTCTGAGCGAGAGAACCGGAGCTTGCATTGCGTGCAGCTGAGCTTTATCTTCATGAAGACTTTCGTCGGATATTCGGACTCATTCGTCGACATTTTCACTAGAGCCGATGTCTCTGGACGGGTTGTCTCTGCGGTGAGAACCATGGCTGAGTCCGATGATATGATACCATGTAGGAATAAGTTGAACGGCTCGATCAGGACGATCTTTCGAATGAACCATTTTTTCTCAAAATGATCGAACAATCCTTCGATAGGAGCGATTGAGAGGACTCCTCGTTCATTTAGGCTCTCTCCTCCTCTGGATTAATGTATAGTATCTCACCCGTCGAATTCCGCTTCTGGGATGTCTCGGTACTCCGTAAAAAAGCTCGAACGCCCGAACTCGGGAATGAGCTTCACCGCATCAATACTCTTCTCGATCGACTAACTTCCGGTCCTCGTGGGCGATCAAAACATCCAGGGAGCCATGAGAAGGGGAAAGTCTCATCACATTCACGATCGCCAAAAATGTGCTCTGCACATCGGTCTGGAGATACGACTCGGGAAGAAAGGGCGTCGGTCGATTAGTGACGATGAGATGAATAATGATTTTCGACGCGAAATGCATCCGGCTCTGTACGAATCCGAGCTGATTCCGAAGCATGTGTTCAGCCTATTCGAGATGAAAAAGACAGTCACCGATAGCGGGCGGCGCTGAATTCTGAGCAAACAAGGGATTTTCTTTTCGTTCAGTGATGAAAATGATCGCGGAGCTCTGTTATCAACGCGACGATTCCTCGAGCCTGATGATCGACTCATCCGCTCCTCTCGACTAACGGGCAAGGGGATAGGCCGATACGACAGTCGAGATCGGATGCGCTCCCGGGTCTCTCCGGACAGATACAATCTCACCATCGGTGATCTGGATTCGAATTCACGCGGCGCACTCCAAAGGTTCGACGACAATCCCATCGTCACCACCTCACCGCTGAACGGTCGTTCGATGCCCAGAACGGTACTGCTCTGTTGAATGAGCCGTCGCGGCGTCTCCGGCATCTCGAGTTAATTGTGTGAGTTGCGTACCTCATGAACATTAGCCCCGGATTCCTTTTGAATACCCGGAATCTGCTCCGGTGACCGACGTTTCGCTCGGTGGCCCCTCGGGTTCCCAATGGAGGGACCAGGAAGTGATACAGAAGAGGACCAGGCAAAGGGGCGTGATTTGCCGCCGACGTTCGGGGGGAACCCGCTCAGGGCTCAAAAATGGTTTGGACTTTACGAGAAATGGGCCGTCAAACAAGGTTTAAGGAGCGATTCCCAAAAGCTCGAAAAAGTAGGCGCTTCTTTCACGAAACTCGCAGAAGAGTGGTACCTCGCTCGTGATGTAGCGATTCCGTCGTGGGAAGTCTTCAAGAGCGAGTTCGCCTGCAGATTTCTGCGGCCAGAAGCTTTGTCATCGCACTACCACATGTCGCTGCGGAGACTGAAACAGGATGGGGAGACCGGCTTTTGTACGCATCTGATTGAGGTCCAACGTCTCTGCTCCTTGGCGGACCCGGAGATGTCTGAGCATGAGCAAATTAAGTGGTTCCTCAAGTCCGTCCGTACGGACTATAGGCCCAGCCTAGTGGTCTGTGGATTCCAATCCATGGCCGATGTGAGAGACAAATGCGCTATCATCGATGGCATCGAGCCATTCCACAACCAACCCGCACCGGAACCTAAGAGTTGCTCGAGGTCGTGGAAACCATATCCGGGTAGCGGTTATCCACTCCGCGAGTGGAACCGGGGTTTTGCCGTAGGCCCGGGTCCTTCTCGAGCAAACGCTTCCGCGTCCGGCCCGTCAGCCAATAGGCGTAGACGGAGGAATAATGAATCTGGGGCGCGACGGGGTGATGCAGCCGCGCATGCCCCTGCCAATCCACAGGGCGAGGCTCCTCAGCCGGATATCCCGCCACAAAATCCACCCGATGATCCACCGCAAGATCCGCATGAGCTTCCGCCGCAAAATCCTCCAGACGTTCCGCTGCCAGATCGACCCGATTCTCCACCGCAAGATCGACCCGATTCTCCGCCGCAAGATCGACCCGATTCTCCACCGCAAGATCCACCCGATGGTCCACCGCAATTTCCACCCGATGGTCCACCGCAAGATCCACCCGGTGGTCCACTGCAAGATCCACCCGGTAGTCGCCCGCTGGATCCACAGAATCCATTGGTCGGAGCGTCCGATCAACCTCAGGTCGAAGCACCCGACCAGCCTCAGGTCGAAGCGCCTGATCGGCTCAACGTCGAAGCGCCCGATCGGCCTAACGTCGAAGCGCCCGATCAGCCCGACGTCGAAGCCCGCGATCGGCCTAACATCGAAGCGCCTGATCGGCTTAACGTCGAAGCGCCCGATCAGCCCGACGTCGAAGCCCGCGATCGGCCTAACGTCGAAGCGCCCGATCGGCCTAACGTCGGAGCCCCCGATCTGCCTCGGGATGGAGCGCCCGATCGGCCTAACGTCGGAGCCCCCGATCTGCCTCGGGATGGAGCGCCCGATCGGCCTCAGATCGGAGCGCTCAATCGGCCTCACGTTGGAGCGCCGAATCGGCACCGTAATGCGCAGCCCGTTCGGAACCGTGTTCCACAACCCAATCGGCGGCGTAATCCACGACCCAATCGACCACCGAATCCAGTGGTGAATCGACCACCGAATCCAGTGGGGAATCGACCACCGAATCCAGTGGGGAATCGACTGCCGAATCCAGTGGGGAATCGACTGCCGAATCCAGTGGTGAATCGACTGCCAAATCTAGTGGGCGATCGACCTCCGAATCCAATGGTCGAACGAGCTCCGAATCCAGCGGTCGATCAGCGCCGCGCTGCACCACTCGACCGGGTTATCAACCGGAAAATCCTCTGCGGGATATGTGGCCGTTCCGGACACATCAGCAGGCAGTGTCGTCAGAGGTGAGTTTAGTTCTTGTTGGAGTCCTCTCGAATCATTTATTGAAACGACGTCTGGCTGCACCATCTCAGGATCGTGGAATTAATCCACAGGTGAATGACGCTGCTAAACTCGAGCTCGATGGGATCGAATCCCGCTCTTGACCGACCCGCCGAGCTCTCAGAAGAATTACACGTCGTTTACCAAAATGTGTTGGCGGAACCCCAAACTCTTACATTCCATCCTAAAAGCCACGACTAGATACTGACGCGTTGATCGCGATTATATTCATCGCTCACATAGACGGACTGTAGTCCCACTACTTCCATTCTCGAGAGCCCGTAGCTCGTACCCCTCGGACCTTTTTCTTCAAAATCATATGCTCAAGCGGGGGATTCCCTTCGATGTATCCCTACGTATCCTATCGAGGGCGTGATGGCCTCCATATCTCCGTGTGGCAATCACAGCAATGTGTTATAGAATAAAAATCTGACGATTCGAGCGATATGCTCACCGCTTAGTATTGGTTGAAAGTCTGTAGTGTACCGAAGCTGTCGATACTGAGAGAGGGTCCCGAGCACGTCAGACGATCATGCCGTCTCCCTAGTCCATCACTCATATGGTACACAGTCATTCCAAGATCGCGGGAACTCTCTCATGGACGGGCTCCCATCTGGGATAGGGGGGTGGAAGTTCCAGCGTGAAACACAGACAGGCAACACGAGTCGACCCGCATCCCTCGAGCAGTTGGACACTCTCTCGGAAAGCGGGAGCGCCAGGAGAGTCTGCTAATAGGGAGGAAAGCCCTGGAAATGCCTTTGTTCCCCCTCGATGAGGCTCCGGAGGATTCCACGGGGTAGATCGACGAGCAGATAGGGGAGAGGTCCGAAGACGATCTGGCCGAGTCCGATTGAGAATCTTTACGGGCTCCCGCTCAGACGGAGGCTCACTGTGAGCTGAGAAAAAAGGGAGAAAAATCCTGGAACCTCTTCCTGAAGCTGCACATTGCTCACTTCCGGGTCTCAACTTGAGATGAAGGCCTGGCATGTTGAATCCCCATAGATGTCTTCGCTGGGTAGGCTCCAGGGAGACCATCTCATTCGAGAACCTCTCGAGCACCGTTTCCGGTCCGAGTGTCATCAATTATTCGGCCATGTCCCTCATTCCTTGTGTAAAATCGGTTTCGAGTTCGGAAAACTCCTCAATGCGATGCGACTCCTGGCTACATGGCACACAGGGAGCTTCCGATGTGCTGACGCCAGGATATGCTCCCCGCGGTGGACTGTCGCACGACGGCCTCATTTCATCCGTCAGATAACACTCTCAGGAATCACGAAATCAAGCATCGCTTAGTCACAAGATGGAGAAAAGAGTCGAACAACTCTGTGGCTCAAACGATAGTATGAAGTCCTCCTTAGCGCAAAACGAAGGCTCGGTCTCGATATTCGGGGCACGAATTCGGCGATGCGAGATCCTCGAGGGATTCTTCCCCTGTAGCACCTTTTGAGTGCTCGCGAATTAGCGATGCCCTCTCGGAAAATCTTTCCTCTATCCAAAAAAAAAATTCAGAGGTAGCAGCAGAGCCACTACCGTGTAGAGGACGTGAAACGTCTTCGGAATGGCCATTCGTAAGACTCGAGCATCGTCATTATCCCTCTAAACTCAGCTCGTACTTTTAGGTCTCATTATCACTGGTGAAGTCGAACTCTTCACCGAAGTTGGGAAAATATCTTCTTCTGAGTGGAAAATATCTTCTTCTGAGTGAGAAATATCTTCCTCTGAGTGGAAAATATCTTCTTCTGAGTGGAAAATATCTTCTTCTGAGTTTTGAAAGAGGTGAATGCGGAATCGCGTTGCTAGCCATTGGGCCGTTACCCGCGCTCTGGAAATTCGAAATCGCCCTCTCCAAGGAGCAGCCATGATCACGGGCGAATAGGGCGCATAGGGTGTCATTCTTGCCTCCAGGAGTTGATCTGTGGGTGTGGGAATTCCGTAGGAAGTATATGAAATTGATGTGCCGTCAATTTGCTATCTAAAGACACCAACCGGGTGTCGATCGGTGTAGAAGGCACGGAGCCGCAGGGCGTAGAAAATGGACAAGTTTCGTCACACTTTTGGTGAAATACTAGGCCAACCTTTTTAAAGACGTTTCACGTTTGGTGAAATACTAGGCCAACCTTTTTAAAGACGTTTCACGTTTGGTGAAATACTAGGCCAACCTTTTTAAAGACATTTCACGTCAAAAGTGTTTCTACCTCGTTCCATTCATCTACAGACCGGAGGAGGAATGAGGGAGGAACATGAAATGATCCGAATATTCCAATGCTCCATCTCGGTGCAGAAACGTACCTTTTTCCTGATATTCGTCACTCAGATGCTCGAGGGGTCTGGGTGTCCGATCAGGGGCATCCTTGATCGCCCATTCGTCATATTCTCCGTACATCCGTATCGTTGCTTCCCCTGAGATCACGCGTATCTTGTCCTCGCGTCGACATCAATCTCGTCGCATGGATGCATCTCAACATCTTGGGAAGCAGAAGTCACGAAGAGCACTGGGTTCAGAATTCGCAATCGATGCGGGATTACAGTGTGGTCATCCGGGACAGATCCGTGATCCGTATTCGTATGAGATATCAGAGGCGGGAGTTCGGGTCCTGCATGGGGAAACAGACATGCTTTCGGCTCATGCTGAATGCTCATGAGCGCGTCGCTCCGTTCCTAAACCCTGTATTGAATTGCTTTATCCTTTGTTAGAGAGGATATAGTAGCAGTGTCCGAGACTACCGGCAAGGTTCGACTGATGACGAAAGGAGTATCATACGAATCACTATGCATGCAGGAAGACCGGAAAGACTAGAATCTATCTCTTCTTATCAATCGCTGCTACCCTGCTCTATCTCTCTCTCTCGGCAACATAGCAGAAGACGCTACCGATTCTGTCCCAGTCCTCACTACTCACGACCTATCTCAATCCTCCTCAAGTCGCCCAGCTCGCGTCCTCACTCTCTTCTCCTGCTGCGGAAGATTCGATCCTTCTGCTTCAGTTATTCCCGAGGGGCCAACATTCGAACGAATTCCAGATCTCGTGTGAGAAATTAGTTAAATGAAACGGAATCGATAAAAGGAGGAGTCCCGTCAATCCTCCTCTGAAGGGATCTCCCGAATCCCCTAAGGGAGCTTTTCGGTTCGATCATTATAAACTGCTGCCGGTCAATGAATTGTTCATATCGCATTCATAGTGGGAGACTCGATCGCTCTGAGAATCCGATCAGCGTGGGCTTCAGCTTTCCATACGCAGTTTGTCTGTCGTAAACATACAGCCGATATGTACGCTGCTTCTCGAATAAAATGATTCCGCGATCGGAACAGCTCTATCAGACCTATGGGAGTCGAGGAGCAATCCCCCGAACCGAGGGCTCCGGACTGCCTCAGGGTCAAGCAGCTCACAGTCATCTGAATAGGTCACATGTCTCCTCTCATCACGGATACTTAGCCTTCTTTGTGAGCAGAGGTTCCTATTGATTCAATCAACAATGAATGAGGACAGGACGTTTTTCTCTGAGCTTCAAACGCATCGTAGCGAGCTCTCTCCGAAGGTTCGCGTCGAATGGCCCCAAAAGCTGCATGAGAATCTGGAAGCTGCGAGTTCCTGGAGCGTGATCGGAGGCCGTACCCAAGGAAGAAGTCAGTTCCCGACTCTCCATAGTTTGACTGAGCTCACCCGCTCGTCGATACACGCCCGAGCGAACGAGGACCGTAGCGTGCGATCTGCGCGGTCTGGGTACAAGAGACGTTCTTCACGGTCAAGGAGCTCAAAGTCGGCGCGCAAGTCAAAAAGAGCTCCTGCCCGGAGTTTTGTGGTGGGTCTTGATCTTCAGAACGGAGATTCGCGGATCTGCTCCAGGAGCAGAATTCCCAGACTCACACCGACTCCGAGAGGCTTAGGGAAGCGCCGAAGCCACACAGGTATTCATGGTGAGAATGATTGGGTTCTTCTGAAACATCAAAATTCCTGAATGATTGAGGCCCTTCCCCCGTGGGCTCCACATCATGGAGCTCTCATCAATCCATTGGAAGCAGAGTTTCTCTCGGTATGGCCTCAAGACGACCGATAAGTGAATTCCGCCCCCTTCCCGCCATCACCCCCTCAGCCGCGGAACTTGCCGAGCTTGTCGAATGAGGTTTCGAATGCGACGAGTAAGCTAGGATGAAGAGCAATCAGAACCAGTGCGGCTTCCGGATCGACGCGGGCTTTCCATGACGTTGCGGAAAACCGAAAGGGGAAACCGTCCAAGGGTGGAGCTAATACAGGAGTGGAAGTGCCCGCCAGGGCGCAGGAGTGGGTTATAAGGCGCAGTGTGTGTCAAAGGAGCGAGAGGTTTGCTCAATGTGTGTGCGAGCTATATGCTTGTTCTCGAGGGCTGCCGAATCAGAAGCGTCGCGGCACGGGCTGGAGCCAGACCAGGAGTGTCGACGGGTGCAGTCGGCCCCGGCACACGCAGCAAAAGCAGCATCATAAAATCAGCGCCGCATCATGTAAGTGCACTTTTCGTGCTCGTGGGAGCAGTCGAGTCGACAGCTATTCCTCTCAAGCGACGCGACAGAGCGTCCCGAAGTGCGGATGGTCGGGAAAAGGCTTCGCTACTCGTCCGATTGTGTTTTCTGTCAACCAGTGATGGTGGCGGTGGTTGCAGCAGCGATGACGCTGGTCTCGAATCGAACGTCGTATGTCCCTTGTCACCTGGCGCCGCTCTCGTTGACGAGGAGTCTCTCATCTCGCTCCGAACTCACGACCGCGCTGCGACTGCAACCCATTAGAATTCCATCGAGGCGACGTTGGAGGCGCCCTGTTTCTGTGCTCACCACTGCGGCAGGTGGTGTGGGGCTGGAACCCGCTGTCACGATTTCGCCTCGTTCTTCCCGTGTGGACGGGAGCTGGTCGTGCTGATCCCGTCGAACCCATTGTTTTCATTACGACCGTGGCTTGCGCGATAGCGCTTACAGCTGCTCACTAGCCTGCCTATGCATACGCTCTCCGCCTAGCAGCGGGACATGGTTCCATCATCTCGTCACATTGGGTTTTTCCAGTCGAGGTTTCTCTATTCAGATTTTACTGTGAGGTCTTCGCTCCGAGCTCATAGACTTCTCACGATGAATGTTCGCCGATCCCCTCCTGCTAGTTCGCAACAGAGCCTCCTCCGTGTCATCGTCTTTCAACCAGCTCTCCTGTTGCGGGTTAACGCCGATCCCCGACAATATTGCGCCAGATCAGGCCCGCTGCGTGCGACTTAAGCAACGAGAAGGCTCAACCAGCTATTCTGTGACATGAAATGTGTGCAAGCCAGTCTGAATGTACATACTCGTGGACAATATCCGTCCGACGAGGCTTCGCGACTGATTTCTCGCTGGGAATTCATGAGGCTCAATTGTACCATGTTGAGCCGTCGGAGACCATCCGATGGGATGCCCGAGCGTGGGAGGTTGCACCGAACGTCCGACTCGTAGGAACAACTCCGGCATAGGGCAAGAATTTGCGGATGCCCGAGGGACGAGTCCGCTGTGGTACTAATGCTCGCGATCGAAGCGACGTCGGCTCTGATGCGGAACTCGTTCCGCGACGGACATTCGTCAGAGGTTCGTCATCGAACCTCATGTTCAGAGTTGTGGAAACTTCGGCTGAAATCTGGGCGATAGCGAGGCCAGATGGCTCGATCGCTGAGGGAGCTTTCTCAGGGCGCCCTTTCCTTGCTTCGTAGAACTCGAGGTAACGTTCCGATAATGGACTTCGGGAAGATTCAGCTGAGCTTGTTAGCAGGCTCGATTCCGGTCCGATGTCCGAGAGCTCCTTGACATTGATTGGATACGGAGCAGGAGTTGACATAAGAAAGCTTCACCCATACCAGGCGAATCTCTCCGCCTGCGGGTTTCGAAAACGACAGCGAGATGTTTCCGCGATATTCCGGAATACAATCCCTCTGGAATTGTCTCCGTCCACCTTCGCGGGATGTCCTCTGACGAATCTGTAGTATCTGAGATGTTTGGAGATTGAGCGGTAGGAAGAGGAACTGGAGCCGATGACTGGCGCAGCCTCTACTTCATCTGAGGGAAATGTAATACATATGTGAGTGTTCATCGCTCCCAGCATCATTCGGGAAGGCGACTTCGAGACATCTGCGAAATCAATGAGCTTCCCGGGCTGTGTTAGTCCACAGCCGAACGCGGACTCTGCGGTTGTCAATGCGTCGATATTCCTTCCGCGGTCGGGCCCAATCGTTTCCGAAAGGATCAAGACCGCATTTGGACGAATTTCGAGACTGTCTCCCGCCTCGGAACTTGTGGGCTCCTAGACATCGCTTTCCGTCTCTCCCCTTCCCGATGGTGCGGACGCCAGCGACAGAGAGCGATTCCAAGCTTCCAATCCACTATCTCTAGGTACGCAGATATGTAGACACGTTCACCGTGACTGCTCGACTGACTCACTGAATGTGAGAGGCCGGCTGATTCAAGGGCCGCTCGGAATGACTGCTTCATCACTATGAAAGGCTCTCAGTGCAGACTCTGACTGGCAACATGCCGTGTCGAGCCTAAGAACTGAGTCTGGGACTGCGGACGGAAGATTCAGAAGTTTGTTCCAAGCGATTCCCGCTCAACCCGAATTTTCGTCTTTCCAGGTCCGCACCTGCAGATGGAGCGGCCGCAGATGGCGCACCCGCTGCGCCCGCGGTCAATCCTCAGCATCAGGCGGCATCGAAGCGGATTCAACAAACGCAAGCGCAAGTCGATGAAGTCGTGGATATTATGAGGACGAATGTAGAAAAAGTCCTCGAGCGAGATTCAAAGCTTTCGGAGCTAGATGACCGAGCTGATGCATTGCAGCAAGGCGCCTCCCAATTCGAACAGCAAGCCGGGAAGCTCAAACGCAAATTCTGGTGGAAAAATTGCAAGATGATAATTGTTATGGTGGCGATAGGTGCCGTCTTCGTCTTGATCATAGCGAGTAAGTTGGAGATGACCTCTCTCAGTCAGTGTTTCGGTGCCGGTCACGTGGTCGTCGGTGCCCCTCAACGCTAACGCCGTCTTTTCGTGTTCCAGTGAAATTCATGTAAGGATGCCGAGCGAGCTAGCTCTCAAGAGACGCTATGCATAACTACGAAAACGCCGCATCGCGTTAAAACACTGCTGGTTCCCGCTGGTCACGAAGAGTTGACGTGTTCTAAGAATGGAAACTCTAAACGACATCGCTGATCAAAAGCAAACTACTACAAGTTCGGCTGCCTGGGTGAATGGGTTGGTAGATGGGCGGGTGGTTGGTTGGTTGGCTGGCTGGTTCTTAACGGGCGAACGAGCGAGCGAGCGATCGGTCGGTCGGTTTTCCAACCGCTCTGTAGGTTGGTTGACCGACTGGTAGGGTGGGTGTCTGCCTGATTATCTGCTGCTGCTATCTGAATGGGTTGAGGGAGGGCTTGGGGGCGAACGATGGGGAAAAGGGACGAAGTGGGCTCTTGGATATATCGAATGTATCGAATTCGAGGGGAAATTGGGCTTTCGGCTGATGAGTTAGGGGATTTGGGTTTGATTGATAGGAGGCACATTTCACTATCAATGTCAGGGCCCGCTAAGACATGATATTCATGATTCAACATGATACTACACTACTTCGGCGTTTACTTTTGCTATACATTAAACGAAACTGAAACTATTACACCATTCCACGGAAGGAATGAAGAAAACTGAAGAAAACAAGCAAAGAGTTTAAGGAAGCAGAGAGAAATCACGGACAGGAGTGAATAAAGCTTTTAGCGCTGTTTGATCGATCCAACTGTGGCGTATTTTCTTCTCTGCTCGGTCGAAGTTTCAATCTCTGAGTCTAAGTAGAGCGATCGTCTTCGGGCTCTCGGTGTCGAAGTGAAGGCGAGCCCTTGAATGGCATAGGAGGGAAAAACTTCCACGTAGGCTGAAGTCGGCCTTTCGGAGCTGCGGGGAGCGAACCGGAAGCCTGGATGTCGCTGTCTCTCTTGATGGATTTTTTTCAGCGATCGGAGTTCTGCTCCGCGCTGTACCTGTATACGAACAGAATGTTCGGACGTCTCCCATTCCCACGACGAAATGATGCGGGAGTTTTCCTCATCTACCCAAGATCTTGTCGCGACGTAAACCAGATCGAGACTGAATGACAGAGCATCGACCGGAATTGAGGAGTAGAGCTCTTCTCGACCATCCAGCCAGACATCGGAAAATCGGGAAGGCGAGGGAAGAATCCACAGTTTTCTGCGAGAGCTTCCTTCCACACGTTTATTATGCAAAGAAGAGAATTTCAAAACCTAACTTCCAATTGAAATGTACATACATGAGGAGACTAAATATCCAACTAGTTCCCATATTACTGTAGATATTCCGAACGCTCAGCGGCCTAGGCAGTGGCTCGTTCGGCACCGCGGAGAAACACAGGGTTTCCACACGCGTTCCGGTCAGTTGAGCCCGCTGCCGTCTCCCAATCGCTCGAGCGACGAATCGTAGGCTCGACCAGTCGAACGATGATTCTTCCGATACCGGAGACCATCGTGCTCGTGGAAACCCGTGCTCCGCGGATCCAATGTTTCGGGCTCCTGGAATCCTTCGACATTCAATCTTCATTGACTGGACTTGAAAGTTGTCCGTTTCACTGCTTCTTCGGCAACCTGCCATTTGATTTTGAGCTTGTTCTGCTCGACGGCGTCTTCCACACGTTCGAGCATGATTTTCCTCGTCACGGTAGCGTCCTCGCTCGCATAACCGCTGGCTTGCCACGCGACGGCGACTTTCGCGATCTCACGGCCGGACAGGCCTCCTGTCTTCGTAGCTATCTCAGAGCACAGCGCACTCCAATCCAGACCGTCCTCGAGTTTGAGGCCTCGTCTCCCGACGCCGAGACACTGCAGGATGAACTTCTCGAAGTAGAGCCGCACCAGGCGCTCTCGTTCTTCGAGACCCGGGAGGCTGAACTCGACCATTTCATCGAGACGGTCGTTGATGGCGAAGTCAAACTGCTCCGGGGTGTTCGAAGCTAAAACCAGCATGATCTTCTTCGATTGTTCTCCGGTTCGGAACAAGAACGCGTTCAGAGACGAACGCAAGTGTTCTGATATGTGCTCCGAACTTCTCTTCCGTAGGAATGCGTCTGCTTCATCGATGAAGAGGAGAACACCTTTGCGCGAAGTTTCTGACCAATCGAAGAGCTTGTGAATGGCGGAAACCCCTTCGGCGGCCATCGGTGCCACGTCACCTCCGCTCATGACGGCGTAGTCGAGTCCTGAAACGGGAAGTCAAAAGCTCGGTATTCCTCCCCACCGCGGCTCATGTCGATCGCACCCTATTTTTTGGACAATATTCGGCCAGTATTCTGAGGGATATGTATTTACGAAGATCCCCGAATCGGGAGTCTTACCGGAATGATAGGCGAGCCGCTTAGCAAAAAGAGTTTTGCCAGTTCCGGGGGGTCCGTACATGAGTATATTCCTCAGATATCCTCCGTTCTGTTTGCTGTTCTTCGTAGCGATGGCAATGTCTCGCAGACGCTCCTCGAGAGTTGGCTGGAGGCGAAGAATTTTTTTTAATCCTCTTCTTCGCTCTAATCGACGTTAGATGTCTCGGTGAATGAATCATCGATAGAGGGGAGTCCCTCGGGTTTAAAACTCACTTGCAACACCACTCCTTTGAGGATGTCTTCCTTCGGTCTTGTGAGCATCTTCACCGTCTGTATTGGATGTTTTGCCAATTGCCCCGCCGTCAACCTCGACGTCTGCCGAACCAGCGACGGCTTCCCCAACCGCAATTCGATATAACGTCCGATGACCGACGTGCCCATTCGGGCGGTGTATACACCTCCGGCGAGCAGCGTGAGCCCAGCGGCCCCCGTAACAACTTTGTCCCAATCAGAAACGAAAGCGTTGAAACCAGCTCCGAAAACCGAGCCGGCTGTCTGGATCGACTGGATGATCGTCTCGCGGTTCTCTTTGGCTTTGAGTTTTAGCTGCTCCATGTTGATATCGTGGTTCTCGCGGTCGGTTTTGGCCTTAGCCATGACCTCGGCTTGAACTTTCTTGATGTCATTGTCACCTCTCAACTTCATTTCATGTTCGACGGTGGCCTTCTTCATGGCTTCCTGTTTCGCTGTCGACTCTTCCTGCTTCCGCAATATTTCATCCTGGTGACGTTGCTGAGCGATCAGTTGATCTTCGTGTCTGGAATGAGTACAATCTCAATTGAGAATTCAGGACGGGCACTCGCTTCGAGGGAAACACGGAATAGGTCCCTTGAACGCACCTTCTCCTCGCGAGCTGGTCCTCGTATTCGGCACGTTGTCTTGAGATTTTGCCCTGCTCTTCTAGGGTCTTCCGATGTTCTTCTTGTGCGATTTGGATTTGTTTGATTTTCATCTGCTCGACTTGAGCTTCGATCTCTTTTATGTGACGCTGGTGCTCGAGTTGGGCCGTCGTTTCCTGCATCCTGGAGAGTTCGATCGCTTCCCGTCCATGACCTGAAGTGAAGAGGAAATTAGTTGTAGTGCCCACATCGGGATGAGTCGAGTGCCTGCGATCTTAGGGCCGTGATGGGGATTTCGAGAAACTGAAACGTTCCTCCTCCCCGACGAATTCTTCAAGTCTCGCTATGATTCTCTCTAGAAGCGTAGTTGATATGCGCCAGACGTGGATCCTCCCATCCGTTGTCCACGGGAATCACGGCTGGAAATCGGTGAGTTGCCCGAAAAGAATCGAAGGCGAATGCTTGGACGAAAGTTCCCGGGTCGGGCTCCCCCTTGGCTTGATGCGAGCAGGCCTCGGTTCGGATCGGTGGATCACAAGTCCCCACAGATTCGCGCGAAGGAGACGATCCTCACCCAATCAAAGGAACTCACGTGAATTTTCGAGCTCTTTAGCGGCCTTGGCAGCTCTTTCAAGGGCAGTGGAGTCGAATTGGAATGAGCTCTTTGCTCCTTTTTGTTCGGGATCTGGCAACTCGATCTTCGGGGGCGGCTGATCACCGCTGCCCCCGCTCCTCAGGCCGAACATCCACGACATCGTCTCTCTGTGGGAACTTCAAAACTCGCGCAGAATATCAACTGTCAGTATCGGCGATGAATTCGCGCACCTCCACCGCGATACCGAACCACGACTGACCCACGTGCCGCTCGAAACCTACACACGCGCAAACCGGCACAGAGCATCCCCGAGCAGAAGAAGAGGCCCTGCCGAGAGAGCGGGTGGGAGCGCGGCTTCCAACCAAAGTGGTCACTCCAATTGGGACTGCATAATCGCTTTCAAAATGAGCGATAGACGTAATTCGAGGAATTCGCCCGCATTCATTCCGTGGAGTTCGGAGCGGTGCCTCCTTCGAGTGCCAATGCTGGTGTACATCGGTAGGAGAGGCATAGCTCGGACGGATAGAGAATCCCGAGCAGATATGAACTTCCAATGAAACTTCCAACTCCCGATTCCCAATCATATGCATGAACTCAGTACTCGGCTGCATGTCTCCCACTGATGCGCCGCGGGGCACATCACCCGTGGACTTGGGACGGCTGCGGAGCTACGATGTCGCGCTCGAATTCGAATCAGTTCGTACCACCCAGACCCGTTGTGTCCGCGAACAAAACCTTCGATAACGGATTCCTGCCGATTCCGCCGGACGGGTGACTGACGGGACGAAGGGCTGCTGAGAGCAGCACTGAAGGCGTGCGAAACAGCGGCGGGAGCCAGCTCGGCTGCCTACCCCATTCGGTACTTCGAGAACTGTCGCAGTTCTATACGCAGAGCCCAAAGTCTCAGACAGAGGTCTCGGCTCTCCTTAACCAATCCACGAAATCCAACCGATATCGTACAATTCGAGTCGTCTCCTCTTCGGTATAAGGCTTGCTGCTTCCTCAAGCACTGGAAAAAAATTATCGAGCAAGATTATATAATCTCGTGCCAGAGAGGCAGCCAGTCATCTTCAATAGCGAATAATTGTGAAGTGTATTGTGGAGGATCAGACTACATAAGTTTGGTTCGAGGCATTCTCTGAGGTACCATATATCTTTTGGTACATATCATTCAATTCCTATGACACTGACAGCCTTATGGGATTCAAATATTTTGCTCTTCCTGATGAAGATCGGGTGATCCTCATAGATCGGCGAGCATATCAGAGACGGATCGGGAGAAATGTGCCCAGGTTTCTCGAGGGGCCGAAGAGAAGAAGGATGTGATGAACTTGGAGCTAGAATGAAAGTTCACCTGATGGTTCGTCTCTTATAATCTTCCCAAGACGTGGAAACTTGTCTCCGAATCCCGCTCAACACTCCATGACCTTTGTCAGTTCCCCCTGAGACTTGGGCGTCCCAGGAGTGGCTGGCGACTCCAGGTCCATCGCAGAAGAAGAATCCCCCAAGAGTTGAGAGGTCCCTGTTTCCTTCTGTATCGTCTATCCTCTGCTTCAGTGAATTTAGGCATTCTTTGAGGAATGAGTCGCGCTCTTCCGTATCCTCAACAGTATGCGCACGAGCCTGCCTCAAGCGCGGATCACTGTCTCCTTCCCCCCGAAATTTTACTACAACCCAACACCTGAAACATTTTTTTACCGTCCGAATTACCAATGGAATAGAAACCAGCTTCCACCGGATTCTTTTTCACGCAGCCAGGCCAAGGACCTGATTCGAACGAGGCCTAACTATACGAGTATATGGGATAGTCAAGCTCTGTCGATTCCCTCTTCTCCTCCGAGAGAGCCTGCGTCTGTAAGCCGATTGGGCTCGATTTTCGAGACTTTAATCGGAAAGTGAAAAATACTCCGATGGCCCATGGAGACACGGCACCGCGCGGGCGCGGCGGAGAGCAGCAGCTGCTCCCTCAGCCTCGACGATGATCTTTGCTGAGCGACGCTAGAAGACTTCGAATTCCTGACGTCTCACAGTCATCACTGTAAGATGCGAAAAAAAGTGAATATCCTCCTTTAGGTAATCCGTGAGGTGAAGCTTGAGCTTGGCCGTTCGATGAGTCTTCAACCTTTGATCCATCGCATAGCTCTGCGGGACATCATCAGGCAGTTCAACGCATTCAAAGATGACCGCCTCGCGGATGCTGACTCCTCAGCTCCGAACAACAAACACCGCCGCCGGCTCTCTCTCGCGAATGGATGTGTGGTGTGCAGTAGACGCTGCTGCTGATGAATATAGACGCAGCAAGTGCGACTGATTTACCGTGCGGCGCTGATATGAAGGTGCAAGATGCTGCTGTCAAGGCTGAATCGACCCGTGGAGCACGACGAGCTCAAAGCACAACAATTAAAGAGGGTAAGCAGCAATGGAATACATGGTGGCTGTCCCCAACATACAAATATCTCCCTCCTGTTGCGCAACTGACCGCAGTCGCAGCGAAACCGCCCTACAAACGTCTTTCTCTCCTATTCCGATGTCAGTCTTATCGTCTCCGAAAGCAATCATCGAAGTAAACGTTCCATGGACCGGGGGTCTCCCCAGAGAACGGAAGGCTCTTCACCGTGTGATTGCTTTGTCTTAAACACGCAAGGGATTCGATGAAACATGGCGGCTTTGACGTTGATTGAACCCGTAGCGCAGGCGCTTCCCGCGTTTACCCGTGACGGCTACCGAGAGAAGATTATTGACGCTTTTCCAAGAAGTCTGATGACTTATTCCAGACACCGATCATGTTTTCGAGGAAAATGAGGAGCCCAATGTTCACGATCAAGATGAGGAATCTGCGATCTACGCCAGAGAGGAGAATCCCGAGGACGTGGTATGTTTCGAGACAGGCATGCTTTTCGGGGAGCGTAATCCTCGCGCAAACGATGACTGATGGTTTCTCTGGGGGGAACATACCTACACGGTCCTACGTCTGCCCATGAATACTGGTCAGGACGATTCTAGCAGTCGAATCGGGATTTTCCTATCCAATGTAACTCTAAAAATATTTCCTTCAATTAGATATACGAGTGCGGAGAGTGTCTCGCGCACTACAGCTCGGTCGAGGAGGTTCAAGATCACATACAGACTTGCAATGGTACGCCACCAGGGGTTGTGGTCGTCGAAGTACCCGATGGGGAAGCGGCGGCCAGGGAACAGACCCCAGTCGCGCAGGCCGGCGGGCAAATCGATGCCGAGGGCGAAGAGGACTCTGAGGAGCTCATCTACGAGTGCTCCAGCTGTGGCATGCAGTTCAGAAACGTACACGCCTATACCAACCATTTGGCGACCACTCACGCCGCCTCGACGACCTGCTGTCCAATTTGCGGCAGATGGTGAGTCCTTGTGAATTTTGTCGGTCACCTTCACTGTGGAAAACTTGACCGCCTACGATTCCGATTTCTTCCGAGGAGGTTCCGCTCGCTAATATTCACTCTCTGTGTTGAAGGTACTCCTCGCGATCGAACTTGAAAGCCCACCTGCTCCTACACACCGGGCTGAAACCCCATCAATGCCCCACGTGCAAGAAGCGGTTCTCAGTCGCCAGCAATCTTCGGTGTCACATGAAAATTCACACGAATAAGCAGAAATGTGCTTATTGCGCCAAATCGTTCGACAACGAAGCCAGTCTCAAGGAACACGAAAAACAATCACACAACTTCGTTACCGACAAGGACTGTCCGTTCTGCCAAAAATCGTTCTCGCACAGCAGCACGCTCCGGAGTCATATTCGAACGCAGCATTCCGATGGATGTCGGAACCTCCTGTGTCAGCTGTGCTTGAAGGCTTTCACAAATCGCTCGAATCTCGAAGTCCACATGCGCTCGCACACCGGCGAACGGCCCTTCAAGTGTCAGATGTGTGACCGCGCGTTCACGGTCCGCAGTAATTTGCGGGCCCACGTACGGATACACAACAACGATCGACGCTTCAAGTGCGAGTACTGCGCGAAAATGTTCTACACCCGTTTCGATCTCAGAACACACATTTTCACGCATACCGGTGAAAAGCCGTTCGAATGCAGCGACTGCGGCGAACGCTTCACGAAAGTCGGCAATCTCAATGCGCACAAAATAATCCACATCGAAGATAGACCCTTCAAATGTAAAACATGCGGAGCCGGTTTCAAGAAAGAGGCGGCTTTCGAGCGGCACATGACAAGGTACCATAATCCCAATAGCTCGCAGTCGCCGCTGCAATGTATTTTCTGTGGCCAGTTCTTCCGGCAGATCAAACAGGTCCGGGAGCATGTGAAGGCCGCGCATCAGGACGAAGGAATCGAGGCCATGTTCCCTTGTGGTACTTGCAACAGACGCTTCGGTACGTCCCGGCAGCTGGAAGAACACGAGAGAACCTGGCACAAGGTGAATTCCGCCTTCAAGTGCAAATACTGTAAACGACCGTATACGAGCGAGGCCCAGCATCGGAAGCACGAAACCTCAGGTGTCTGCCTCACGCGGCTCTGTCCGGTCTGCCGGAGGCAGTGCAAGTCTCCGAGCGACTTCGAATCGCATGTTCGAACCCACGAAAACGAGAGACCTTATAAATGCGAGGTCTGCGATAAAGCTTTCGGGAAACTCATCAACCTCCGACGGCATCTCCTCATCCACCAGGGAGTAAGTTATAGCTGTGCGGTTTGCTTCAACAAATTCACGTCCGAGGCGACGATACACCGCCACATAGCACAGGCGCATCCAGGACTCGCCACCAGTCAGAGCAAGATACACCAGGAGGTTGTCGAAGATGTGAACGAGTCCGAGGAAAGTCAAGTGGAACTCAGTCAAGAGGAGGACGAGGTCGCGGACGAAGCCGAGATCGCCGGAGAAGAAGATGAGGAGGATCCGGAGGTGGAACGGGAGAACGGCGTAGACGTCGGCGATAGCGAGGACGTAGGACAGCTTCCTCCTCACGAAGGCAAAACTATTGTTATTCATCAATTGGTCTTGGCTCCCCCTCAGAAACGCTTCCTGACTCCAGCAATTGTTAAACTTTCCTCAAAACCACGAACCGAAGCCTCGGAATCCACTGCTCCTTGATCGTGATCGCGTCACCGAACGGCGTTTATATGAAGTTGAGTTTGTTATGGAGTATTAGATTGTCGATCCGAAGGCTAGTCCTGTCAGTCGAGCGGCTAGCTTGGTGAACGACTCCAACACACATCTCCGGCCTCCTTGTCAGCCGGCAGACCATACTGAATCGATTGAAAATAATGGTCATTCATGACGAAAGACAGATCGCCTCTGCAATCGATACTCTCGTTTTCATTTCTGTCTGCAACCCATTCCAGGAAGTCAATGACCTACGGAAGATCCAGGGCTCGGTCCGAGCGTCGAATCCCTTCCCACAAATCTCGGGAATTCGATGGCATTGTTCTCGGACGGTGTCTCGTAGAGGTTGCGAAGACTTGTAGACTCCCGGGATCGCTACCGGTTTTCCCTTTGCGAAGAGTTCGCGATGTCAGGTGACGCCTGTCGGATCGGGCTTCGTCCGAGAATGCGAAATGTCTGCGGAGATCTTAAGGTCCTTTCCCCGAGTGGATGAATCCTCTACGGACTTGTCGTCTTTTCCCGGCGAATTATCATTATCGCTCGACAGGAGGAAGCCTCGGGAAGAATCTCACTCCAAAGCGCAGCGTGCTTTACGAATCAGGTGCGGAACTCACGAATTCACCGCGAGAACTGTGAGCGAGTGAGCTTTCGCGCGTAGATTCACTTCGATATTCGCGAGCACTCCCGCGCCAGAAGCTGGAGAGGAGGGGGGGGGCGGCTTCGCACTCGGTGGAACTCCCAGATCCAGATTCTTGGGTCAGTGATAACACCCATCCCAGCATCGTATCGCGGGAATCTCTGCTCATCTGTTCTCATCCGCTCTCGAATCGGGCCAGACACCTCGGAGGCGCTAGAAAGAATGAAACGACGGACGGTCAAGTTCAACATGTTAAATTTTTTATTCTTCTCTGATTGACAGCAAATTCACATAAATATTTACGGAGCATCTTAGGAGCTGCTTTCCTCCACGCCGGTACATTCTCAACCACTGCAATGACCGGATCGCGGTATACAGATTAAGGTCACCTCCGCCGTATGCCAAGACTCGATGTGGGTGGATGAGAGCCCGAGTAGGTGATGATCTACTCTAATGAATGAATCGCCTTCCGAACGACTTGGAATACGCCAGCAGAACTTGATGATTCACAGTGCGCTTGAGATTCCATTCGATTATATCCCAGGAGTTGTTTCTCTTTCAGGTTGTATCAGAAACAGTCGGCAGCTTCCTTCACCGAGTCGAAGTGCTTGTTCACTGCTTTCGTCGTTGCGTCGCTTCGTTTACATTCGATCCATCCACTGAGAATTTCGAGGACTTCTCCGAAGTTTCGGCTCCACGACGTGTATCGTGTTTCGAGACTCCGGCCTCGAAACATTCGGGCTTCTGACATTCCACGTATGAGCTGTCCTGGCGCGGCACGCCTTGGAGGCTGTCGACTTCCCTTCGGAAACATCTTCTGAAGCTGATTCATCCCTTGAACTCTCTCCGGAGTAGTTGGCAATCAATGCATCGTAAGCGGGAGACCCAATGGGAACTTAACACATATCAACAAAATCACATTATCGGAAATAAGGACGAGAAACAAAAACCAGAACGAAGAAAAAGGACACCGAGAGCTGGAATAAGAGCCTAACTCAATGACAATCCGATATCACGTCTTCGCGAGCGATCCAATGAACCATTGTTCCTCCTGCTGATCCGTGAGACGGCCCCGTCGAAGATTCCCAGCTCCAGGATCTGCGATCTCCCATGAACCACCATGTGGAGAGGCACACGTCAGCGTAGTCAGTGGGAGATCGAGCAGGAGTGGAATAATTTCACGAATCGAGAAACTGACAATTGGCAAAGCCAAAAGGCGGTGAGAGATCCGCATTCAGTCACCTATCACCATCATGGTCCGGGACGGTCTATTTTGCACAACAAGACGTACGGCCGCTCGCGACTGTGGCTGTCGTCATCAACACGTCGTGCTCCGGGTTGGAGGTTGGAAATTCAAGAGTCAGAATAGAGTCCCCAACCGGTTGTTCAGTTTGTATTTCATCATCATCATGATCTTTATAATTACCAGCAATATGTTATTGTCAATCTTCATCACCATGTTCATTCCCATCCTCTCCTCATCATCATTACCACGGACCAGAACGATGAAATTCTATCTTCAGCAGACCACACTGATTTCCCTCTCGGTAGGGGAACATTCCCCTACCTCTCCTCCCAACGACCGATGACAGTGATAATAATAATTAAAGAATAATAAACGTAAAAATATAGCAATCAAGAATCATCATCATCCGCAAAAAAAAAATAGATATATAGATACTAATTGTTGTTTTTGTTGGTGTTGTAGAAAGAGGGTCTGTGTTGTCTTTGTGGATGAATGCTTCGGGTTGATGTAAGTTAGCGTCTGTCGCCGGTGGTAGCCGCCGACATGTATTTGGGCGTATTCGACATCATCTTGTTTGCCTGGTACTTGTTGTATTCGCCAGCACCGCTAGTCAGATGATTGCTGAGTTGATAGTCGAAAGCGGTATTGGCCGTTCCGTAGGCGCTGGTCGACTTCGAGGCCTGGGACGCTGAACTGGCAGTTCCGGCCGGCGGATAGCCCGTGACCTGAGCGGACATGAACGGCATCGGTGGGTAAGTTCCCTGGGCCACCATGTGAACTCCGTAGTAGTTGTACGGATTGAGGTGAGGATAGGCCGCCGTGGCCGTGATCGTCGACTGGCTGCCCGACTGCGACGATACTTGCGTCGCCGACGACGAATCGTCCTGAGATCTTACAAACTTATCATAACTATGCTGCTGGAGAAGACTGCTGGCCGAAATACCAGCAGATGAAGCCGTCGATGAGTTCTCACGCTGTTGCTGCTGGTAATCCGTGGCCAAATGAGTTCCCGAACCTGTCACGTGATGAGGATAGTAGGGATAGATCGTCGGCATCGGAGTAGGATGTCCTGTGATATGGGCATATGGCGTCGCCGCGTGCATATGCGGCCCGTGAAGCTGGCCCGGTTGGAGGACCAAACTGCCAGGCTGCATCGTCTGCTGCTGCTGCTGCTGCTGTTGTTGCTGCTGCTGCTGTTGTTGCTGTTGTTGAGCCTGTTGAACTTGCTGCTGCAGCTGACTTGTCTTCTTGCCATCGTACTGAGAGGTGGCAGATGACGACACGGAGTCCGAAACCGAGACCGCTGGCCCTGCTGTGCTCCCAACAGACGCACCGTCTTTGCCTTTGTATCCACCGCTTGCAACTGTTGAACCCCCTGCAAGACGCAACAAACAATACGTTCAGACCCTCTTCCTCGGGAGATCAGTCGCGTTTCGGGCAACGAGCACGCGGGCATGCAAGCTCAGCAACTACGGAACATATTCAAATTTTTTCCCTCGGAACTCAATCGTCAAGAAATGATTTTCTCTTCAAGATTTCGAGACGGAACTCACCGAACGCAGTCGAGTAGTTAGCACTGCCATAGGGCTGCGAAGCCTGTTGTGAGTACTGCGTGGTACTGTGGGCCGCGTTGTAGATTCCGCTCAAGTTGTGCAGATACGGCATATTGTTGGGCGGCTGTTTGTAGGCGCTATTCGAAGAGTACTGTTGGTAGTTGCTGCTCGCGCCACTCGAGCCGCTCGAAACCTGACTCTGTTGCTGAGCCTGACTGTGGTACGAAGATGGGACAGTTGCCTGCTGGCTCTGGGCGGACCCAGTAATTGAAGCTTTGTGCGTCTGAAGGGGAGCGACGGAACTAACGGAGGATTTATCAAGACCCGGTGGGCCAGCGATCGAAGTCACTTGTTGAGATACTTGACTTCTATCCCGTTCAACTGGCTGCTGCGAACCCTGCTGCAGACTCTTCGCGCTGACATCGATCACAATTTGACCGCCCTGAATTTTCAATGGCGGGACGTTTGAAGTGGTGCTCTGAGCACCGTGTGTTGCCAGGCTCCCACCCGATGAGAGTCCTGAGCCGTTGTGTTCCACTTTGTTCTGGAATGAAAATCGAGCTCGTCTCAGTCACTTGCTCTCGGAGCGGGTCGTTCGACGCAAAAGAGAATTCCTCCTTACCGGTTGCTGATTGTGTGACAATGGTGAGATCGAATCGAAACTGTTGGACCCAAAAGATAGAACTCCGAAAGTCACATCGAGGGAGTTCCCATGGAGATCGAGGTGATGATCCGGAGGCATTTCTACAGGAGTTTGAGGGATCTTCGACGCGGGCGGAAGCCGGACTTTCGTCTTCGGCGCCAAACCTTGCTGAGTCGCCGCCTGCTGGATGCCTCGCACCAATCGTTGCTGAGTTCCTTGCGACAGATGAGATGGAGCGCCCGGTTTGCTTCCGGTATCGATAACTTTCAGAGGATCGAGACCGTCACTGGCTTGGCTGGTACTGCTGTTCGTGGGGTTTCGGGGAAGATTGCTTTGGGCGTGTTGCTGCGGCGGTTGCTGAGGTGATCCCTTGTTGCTTGGCGTCAGCGGTTGACTCGAGCCCGACTTACCGCTCTGACCCTGACTCGATTGGCTCGCATGACGATGACGAGATTTCCATTCCCGATTGTTACGCTCTCCGGAACCAGACGCGTCGACCCAATCGGATTGCCGGTCTTTCCTCGCAGTCCACTCGTTCGCGCTCTTCTGGTCGGCCTTGAAGTCGTCCCAATTTCCTGGAGGGTCACGAGTGCTCAATTAGAGGGAGAGAGGAGAAATGAGAATGATAAATGAAAATGAGCCGGGGTTCGAGTCGGGAGAAGAAATTTTCCCGAGGGAATTTGTTCTCACTTACCCATATTCTTAATGGTATCGTTCTGTTGTTGGTCATTGGTTTCTTTCTGCTGATTCTTGAAATCCTCATCGAAATCGTTCACGGTACCGTTGTTCCAATGGGAGCTGTTCTCGTCGCCGGCGTCACCTCGGTTCTTCTTGCCGCTGCCCGGTTGACTGTCGCGACCTCCAGTACGCGAACGAGGTCCCCCACCGCCGCGTTGCCGTCCACGACCACCTGCTTGTGGAGTGCCGCCTGCGGTTCGACCCGGTCCGCGTCCTTTTCCGCGACCGCCCGCACGGTCGTCGTTAGCTTTACGGTTGTCGTCTTTGCTCCGCACCTCGGGGACCGTCTGTTTTCCTTTTTCTTCTTGCCAGTTGTTTCCCAGCCGTTGTCGTCCGGAGATCCTTCTAGCAATATGTTGACGGCGTCCTCGACACTGCCGTTCGAATCATGCAGCGCCATGGCCGCCTCGTCAGGCGTCCTGTGTGTGAGTTCGACGATCATGCGAATGTTTTCATTGAGGTCAGCGATATCCCGTTCGTTTGAAATGTTGGTGATTTCAGCGATCCGGAGCTGTTCCGCGGTGGCTTGCGGAGCGGTTTTCTCTTTTTTGTTCGAGGCTGGAGCCTCTGTGACAGCGGCAGGACCGCCCCCGCCGGCAGTCTGTGACTTCATCTGAAACGAGAAATGGCTTCTTGAGATGCATGAATAATACAATAATCACATGATCATGAAAATCATAGTACAACATGCGATAATAGCAGCAGCAACGTCGGAAACGTCGATCGTATTTCTTTTTTTCCGTCTCGCATCGTTTCACGCCAACATCCACATGGCACGGGCGGGTAAACATTGCCGCCTGGATGATCGTTCCTTCCAACGTTGCGGAATGAGAGAAAGCGATCCGTGTCCGCTCTGGTCCACGCTACGTCGGGACGGAATTGTCGACCCACCGAACAGCCGCTAAAACACAACCTACTCCCTGGTGAGTTTTCCGACGAGCGTCCTCCGTCGGCCCGACTCCATTGCTCCGTCTGCGATCCAGACTCACGGAGCTTCGGGCCCACGAAAAACAGCAAGCCGTCAGCGCTCGGCCTGAGAGAGAACCCGCTAATTCGCGAAACGTTTCCGATCCTGCTTGCTGGAAGACCACCGTTCACTCCGCAACTGCAAGACCTCAGCGAGGGCCCGCGCCTTCGCAATTCAGAACGCATCACGGAAGATCGGATCTCGCCTTACGATGAAGCCACGGAGAGCGCCACTTCGCCACCCAAACGAAGCGAGCCCGCGAGAGACACAATATGTGTATTTACGATGGGAGCGTCAACGATCATGCCTGTTGAGTAAACAGGGGACGTTTTCACGGGCTGATGACGCTTAGCGCATCTCTCGAGCCAGGACTTCCAGCAATAGGAGGCGACCGATGAAGCGAATCGAGAGATCTACGGCGACGAATTAAAACGGAACACAGGGATCGCTATAATCAATGCCTAGGTTCCAGCTCGGACGATTCACTAGTCTGCCGGTCTTCTCGACTCGGGCCAGCGCAGCCTCATATCCGAGCTGAATGTCTTGCAAGACACATTCACAGCGATCTCCGATCGGTCGATGAGGATGATGTCGACCACCGAACAACTTGTATCGGGCTGCGACTTCAGCTCGACGGCGTTTCGGAACCCGAACGGTCTCATTTTCTCAAGAAAATGAGACCGAGCCAAGAACGCGTCGAGTCACTGACTCGTCCAACCGCCTACCGCCTAGCAGCAAGCGACATTCGCATCTGCCGAAGACTCAAACTTCTACGGTTTCACCGCGGGATCCTGCGGCGGGTCCCCGGCAAACTTCGCGTTGATACAATATCAGCTTCCGTCGATCCCGAATCCTCACCAGGCTTCGCTGTGACACAATCAGCCCTCGGCTGAAACTCCACGCCGGGCTGAACAGCGCAGGGATTGCCAAGTGCGTACTTCAAGCAGCAAGCCTAGACGCATCGGAGTTCTCTCGTTACTGACCGAAAGGAACATCGGCGGGAAACGGATCTCCGACTAGCTCGGGCGGGTCGACTGAGTCGGTGTTCGCCATAGCTCAATGTTTTCATCCAATATGAAAACGGCAAAGCACTCAAAGTTGGGCTTAGGCCTCCGCACGCCGGCTGTGCCAAGCTGACGCCTCGATCTCGAATGGCAAGATTTCATGACTTCGACACCGAGAGATCCGCCTTGAATCGAGCTATTTTCACCAGAACCCACCTGTGTCGACGGTTGAGAAAATGCACGAAACTAGCCAAAATATCTTCTGTACAAGAATCGATCGGTGAGGCTTACTTCAACCCCGAAAGCCTAATATGCTGTGGAAGGCGACGCAGCTCGCGCGACGACCAGAAAGCGACGGCGCGAGAATTTGAAAATATTTGAGTGGGCGGCGGGCTTTCGCTCTGCTGCTGGAGCCCTCTCGGCAACTTCTCGTGGTATCGCTCGAGGGATTTTCTTTCCTCCTGATCATTTCGCTCCGAAGAGCCGTATCTCGATTGCCGCAGTTTTCCCATCGCACCGGGGTTGTTGTCCAGCGACGAGAGCTCACAACACATGCTTTGCTGATCTCCGTTTCTCCGACCCCTGGGATAGCGCAATCCCGTCCCAGAAACAGATCGCCTGGCATTCATCCCCGATGTTCACATCCATGTCCATGTTGAGGGGATAATTTTCGCCTGAGCCGATACCGGGAGGTACGAAATCGAGAATTTCATTGCATTTCCAGAATAAATATACATTCAGCTGTCCGAATACTCCAGATCGGCTCTGAACCAGCCGGGAATGTTCGAGTTTTTGCCGAAAAAAATCCGAACAAGTGTGCCACTTGGAAGTTTTCGCTGGTCCCGCGTCAGGAAGAAATAAACTCTATCGAAGCATTCGGTAAACTGGAGGCGGTATTCGCCCGTCGCGGGGTGAAATCGGTCCTCTGTTCAACGTGATCGGGGCAGAAGATGAATGTCTCTCGGTTCTGTTCAATTTTTCGGAATCGATCCGACGATCGGATACCGGTTTTATGCCTGCCTTATTCCCCCCACACCTGATGAGGAGATTATTTCTCAGATGCGAGCGCCAAGCTCTTCGTTTTGAGCGATTACGGGAGCATCTGAGCCGGCTCGACCTCACCGACTGCCTATTGTTGAAATCTCAGATAAAGCTTCTACCGCAGCAGAATCCGGTCATTCCGTCGAGGACAGCGGATTGGAGAAACCGCCTCTTCCAACAATAGGAAGCAATGAGTTGCTGATATTCTCTCGACAGTTCTGGCAAGAGAGACGATTTCGTTTCATCAAAACCCGTTTATTCCAAATCAGCGCTCCAGACTATCCATAGTAACATCCTTCGGGGCAGGGGCAAATGAAGGCGAAAAAGAGCAAACGAAGTTTAGCGTTTATGCCTACTCTTTCCATTAAAGCGTTTACCCCAAATATCATGAGAATGTACTTTAGAGAAATCGTCAGACACGGGGGAGATATCAAGAACTCCGGGCGCATAATCAGGTATCAAGGATCGTTTACTTATGCAAGAAAATAATACTTATGCCGTCGAAGTATCCGACGGAACCCGAGGTCTTTTTATCAGATCCAGATCGCGGCTCAAGAAGACTTGCGAGAGCGTCGCGCAAGAGACAGGACTGCGTTATCCGGTAAGAGGATATCTGATGATTGGTGATCAATTCGGCTCGTGTTCGCTCAGGACCTCAAGGTCCGTCAATCCGTGGGGGATGCGCTGGGGAAGTCCATGAGTTAGCTCAAGCATTCATTCTGCCTTCGACCGTAGGTGATTCTTTCAATGAGCATCGCTCATCGAGGGATTCCACGGGATCAACGGGGAATTCTACGCTGGGAGCACCAATGTATTGCTAAGGAGAGCCGCTCGCATGAGGATGCACGAGAATGTCGATTCGGGACTAGTCGACGGTTCGTTCCGTCGCAAGCGGATCGACGATAATAAGGGGAGATCTGATCGAAATGTCATTCACTGGCTCTATTCAAGGAATTATCAGTCGGTCACGCCCAACGATCGTCTCCGAGTTCAGATTGCATCTCTGCCGGAGGAGCCGAGGCGTGAATTGAGCTCGTACCAGACGCTAGGGAACATGAATCTTCGGGTCCTGAACGAGCTGAGCCTCTCAGAGATGCTCCCCTAAACTTACCTGAAGATCTACGAGCGGAGGCTCATGTCGCTCTGGTTCCCGATGACCGATAGCGCGTGGTTCCCGATGACCGATGGAAGGCGTGGATCACTCCCAGAATGATTGATTAAACTCCAGATTAGTTAAACAGGCACAGGTGGAGCTGCTGAACTGTGAGTCTCCTGGACTGAAAGCCCTCCAAGAATTCGACCCAATCTCCCTACGCCGGAAAAATGGCGGGCGAATCGTTAGAGACCCAGTGTGCGGCAGATCGCCCGAACTCTCAGCCAGTCTCTGCCGCGGCGGCCGCTCCTTTCGCGCCGCCCAGTCGAAGAAAAAGAAAGGGTTCTGTCACATCGGTGACTGATCTCTCCAGCTGAAGCGGCCTCATCCGAGTCGCGAATGGATTGAGACCTACTAAAGAGTTGGATCCACTTCTGTTTTCTCTCTCAAACCTATCGGGACCTACCGGAGAAGTCCCTCTCTTCTTTCTCATCGGGCGTCGTGCCGGTGGAAAAGCGTGAAACGGCAGGTTCCAGTCTTCAGCTTCTTCACAGCAGAGATCATCATTCATCATCATCAGCCTCATGTATGAAACTCGAGGGTGCGGATCGAATGAAGGTGAAGTTCAGCTTCATCTGATACGAATCAGATATGGAGGTCCACACGGACTATCGGAGTCCTGTTCGGTTCCCAACTCAGCTCTCGGAATTGGAGCCATTTAGTCTGTCCGGATGCACATGCTCGCTCGAGGTAGAACAGGGTCTGAGCAGTTTAAGTGCTTGAGGTGATTTCATCGGCTTTTCAAATCTCCATCGTCCGGCTTTATGGAGATCGATGAGGGTATCTCATAGAGCTGAGATCAGGCAGCAAGCTCCGGAGACTATATTCCATTGAATCGGGAGCGTCGATGGGGGATGGGAGTCGGGAATCGCGATTCGCTGCGAAATGCCGGGAGCTGCGACGCATGCCCAGCCCATATTGCAGATATGAATCAGGTTGACTAAGTTTGCGGCCCCAGAGGGGAAGGGACGACTTACTTCACGGAAAATTGATTCTGTTCGGTTTTCCGGGTTTATAGGGAAGAAGATTTCGTCTGCTACGCAAGTGTTGCCAGAAGATCAGGCGATCTGCGAACGTTCAGTGTAGGCTTCAAACGGAGTCCGGATTCCTGACCATCAGCAGCGGAGCTCAGAACATCAAATCTAGCCCTCATATCTGCAGGAAATGCGTGCCTCGGACCCGTCTGATCAGCTCATGCATCGCCTACACCTACACCGCAAAGCCCGAGCCCAATATTGGTGGGCATATACATATATCGGGGGAAAGGCTCTGGAAAACTGGCAAGTGAAAGATTGGACACCGGAAGCATCGTGTCTTGTGAGACCAGCTCGCATGGGCGTGCTTTTACCTTTGCTCAGCTAGACGTCCGAGAAGCTCATTCCACGGCCTCCGCTCCTGGATCCTGGTTGTGTGTCCGAAAAGACCCCGGGATGCCCGGCGTTTGTCGGAACAGAGTCCGTCGACGCTCCGTTGCATCGAACGAGGATGAATGGGGACGGAAAAAAACGTTCGCGAAGGAAAGATCCCCGAGCCGTATTCTCTCGACCGCGCATGCGCATGCAGAAGAAGGTAACGCTCCAATGTCTGAGTCGATCCATGAGGCCGTCTCGATTCCGCCAAAGAGTGACTCAAGAAATTCTTCCATAGATCGCTCAATTCTCACAATGAGGTCGAGATGCATCCGTCGGAAGACGAGACTCTTGGCCGACGGGGTTGTGCAGTGGATGGCAGACTGTGATAAGCGGCAGGCGCGATGATCGACACCAATGTATCATCCAGGATCGGCTCGGCTCCATCCGTCGCAAAAAAAGGCTCTTCCTGCTGATTTCTTCTTACTTCCACCCTCTATCTTCCGAAGTTTGCGGAGTAAAATCGACGGAGCTGACCGAGCGCAGACGGAAAGAGCATGTCTTTTGCAAATCTTCTGGCGAACAACGTGGATCCGGCGAGTCGTGGTCCACCTCCAAATGTCTCGGGATATACGGCGGAACTGCCGCAGCCTATCTCTATTTGGGGTCCCTGTACTGAAACGGCTGTAGATTGTAAGCAATCGACACCTGAATTGAGTCCTAAGGCCGTTCGTGTCCGTCTCCTGCCCAGTCCTTACCGAGCTCAGGGGACTCGCAATCTTGGGCCAGAGAATGCTTCCTGTACTGACCCAACATTTGATGCGTCCCGTCAATTGCATTGCTCATTGCTGGATATTTGAGCGTCGAGCCCTGTGAACCTTTTATATCCCTTCGATCTCTTACTTGATGATCCGACATGACGGTTTCTCCGCAAATATTCACCAGCCCGCCGGCTAGATCCAATCATGTCGCATTGTCTCCTCCGAGGGAGAAGAGCGTCTTGAGCGACCCGTCCGATCGCGAATCAGAGTCCGGTGGGTCGTGATTCGTTATTCGGAGGGCAATCATTGTACGCAATCCACAGGTTCTGGACGTTCGATTGTGACCATTGCTTCCGATTACATCTCCAGAATCTTCAGAGAAGCGGGTCTGGGCCCCGGCAACCGAGACATCGCGGCGAAGAGCGTGAAATCTTCAGGTCCGGGAAGTTTTGGAGAACGATAGAAAGGAGCTGTGGAGCTCAACGGCTTTCCCGTTGCCGCAGACGAATAGACTCGCGGAGGGCGAATTTCCCCCGGAGTCATAGTGGGATATTCCGAGGAAATCCCTGACATGCGGGAAAACGAGCAGAGACCGTTGAGAGCGTCAACCATGGCACAGCGGGGGGTTTCGAAGTCGCCGCAGACCAGCGTCGGCTTTCGGAGATAGACGGAATCGATCGAAGTCACCGCGGACTTCGCGCCTCCACACTTCCACTGGAGTTTCGTCGGTGCCCGTGGGGAATCTGGGTTCCTTCACAGTGTAGGCCCCGGCGAGGAGAGGGGTGGAATCTTCTGGCTTCCGCGTCTTTCGACGATCTCTGTCCGGGACATGGTATCGGGTCCGCAGCAGGAATCGATCCACGTTCGCGGAAACGAAACGAAATGTGCGAATTCAGCCCCAGGAATGCCTGAAAGGGGTCTACATCGACGTCTAATTAGGCGACACCGTCAACACTGTGAGTATATGAGGCGCACAAGTTTTCGGCATCGCAATGGGAGGCGGAGGACGTAGAAGCACCTGCTGGGTGCTATTGACCGTCAAGCGACGACATCCAGGGCCCCGAGTTGAGGATATTCACCCGAAGATCTCTTGTGCGACAAAAGTGCAAGTCGCCGTTGAAGTTCGCGAATCCGATGACCTCTTCCGCTTGTCGTTATTGGGGGCAGTAAAAGAAAAACTCGCGTCCTCCACGTTTCCGCTGTGGACCTGGGCCGAGTGAGAGGTGCGGATTTGAACCGCTTCAATCGTTCGCTGCTTGAAGTTATGGACGCATGTGGTACAAGCATCACGTGTCGGCATCTGACCCTGCGCCCTGGCAGGGTATTGGTGGACCGAGCTCTCACAGAGATCGACAAATAGACTGAATGGAAGAATAGACTCCCGAAGTGACGAAATTGTTCAATGATGGATGAAGATACCTCCACCCTAGAAGTATTCTCTCATGTCAATAAAAACCCTTGATGAGCTAGATGATAGTTGCCTTGTTTGGTCGCAAGGATTATCATCAGTGAGAGAGCGCTCGAGCTCATTCCTGGGTGACGTGATCGCTTGCGGGTGCTTCGTACAGGATCGTGAGACGCGGTCTGTTCCCACTACCACCCCTGCTGTGGTAGCGGCAAGGAAAATTTTCGGAGTCCACCGTGACCTTCCTGAAAGAACACATCGCCCAGACGCGAAGACTGTCTTCTTGGATATGACAGGAAAAGAGGAAAATTTTCTGCTCCACGATTCTCTTGAGGCTGGCGCTGCTCGTCTTTGCGACACCTGAGAACTTGAAGCTTCCAAGAACAACGACGAGTGGTTCGTCGACGGGACATTCGATGTCTGCCCTAAGCTCTTCGTTCAGCCGTATGCAAACCACGTGAAACTGCCGAAAAAATATTCAGTGCCTGCCATGTATTGTCTGCTCGAAGACTTCGGCGACCCACCGTCGACTCCTGGATACGATCGTGAGCGCACTAGACGGTTGCTTCCCGCGCCGAGTCTATCCCGACTTCAGGATCGGCATGATGATATGATTGGAAGGAGCTTCCCCCGAAGCCGAGATATTCAGCGGCATGTTCCATTTCCATCAATGCTCGTGGCGGAGTTTCGCGACCGTCGCGACGCAGTCTCGGCTCCGGAGGATAAGTCGTCGCTCCGGAGGATAAGTCGTCGCTCCGGAGGATAAGTCGTCGCTCCGGAGTAGGCCTTCCAAAGATCCGTGAAATTTGAGATCCGTCGGGCTCAGATCCGCGGATAAGATCCGCACCAAACCGGATCCAGAAAAATATACGTATGCATGTGTACAACTTATGTACAGTTCTCTGCGGATTCGCTGCTGATCTCCAAATGTTTATGATATTTATGCGGAGCCTACCCTGAAGCATTTCATGCATTTTCCGCTTTCGGAACTCTTCAAGAAATGTTTCCAAACCTAGCTCTTCTGATCTGTCGCTACCTTGAAGTCCTCCATGATGAGGAACGCTCTATCTAAATACAAGGAGAACAACAAAAATGGATGTACGGGCTCATCCCGGCAGGAGGGCTGCAGTTTATTCTCGATAATTTTAGGCTCTACGAACTTGTTCGCGGGGAGCAGTCCAGATCACGAACTGCGGAATAAGAACGCTTGCGCATGAGGTACGAACAGTTGTCTCTCAGCTGCTATCGACCGGATCCCGGTCATAAGTCGCAGCGAAGTCCGACGTGCAGAGCCGTCATGTCGGCGGGAAATGAGTGAGGGAACAAGCCCTCAGTTTTGAGACGAGAGGTTCCGAACCGAAATGGGAAATTCATGACTCGCGTTACCCGCTTCCTCCTTCGGAGAAACGCGATTAATGGTCGTTTTCCTCCCGACTACAATGTATGTACGATGGTTTTTCCCTACACTCGTGGAATTCGAGGAACAAACTCGTGCGGATCCTGCGGATCCGGATCCGTGAAAATCCTGCAGATCTTGCGGATCCAGATCCGCTGGAAGGCCTACTCCGGAGTGGCAGAGGTGGACGAGTGCGAGACCTGCAGAAGCTTTCTGCGACTCGTCGCGACTCGTTGGAACAGTCTCTACGGCAGCATTCGAGCGCGACTGGCCATGGAAGATCACATTCCATTCCGCTGAGGCAGTAGCTGGATCTCGGAGTCTCATTCTCATCGGATAATTTCGCCCACATGGCAGAATATGTGAAATGCTCCGACTCAGTCGCCAATCCCCTCGACCAACTTCAGGGCGACAAATTGTCCTATTACGAAATGCTGGTGCTTGAGCTGCACATTCTGAAGAAGCAGCTCCTTGATCTCGGAAAGGAACCTCTCCGATTCTGCCAGCCTATCGTCCCAAGCTTCCAGCGGAGCGTCGAGAGACGTTTCAAGGATGTTCTAGACTGCCGAACCGCAGTGGGTGAGAAACCAGCGATCGCTGCACTGTCACAATTCTGGAGAAGTATCCGGCAATCGCCGAAATATTCAGGGAATGCTACTCGAAGTCCCCGTCAAGCGCAGAATTCGAGTGCCTCCTTTCGGACGCGACCAGGGCGAACGCACCATGATCGAATCGCCGCAGCGATGACGGGTTTGAGCCCCGGGGCGGAGCGGCCTCTGGGAGACCAATGAATCTCCATAAAACACGCGAAGGATAGCCGATAACCAAATGATCCGATGAATTTCCAAGAAGAGCCATGTCAGGACCAAAGCTATACCAAATACAGTTGTTTGATTCGTCGTTTCATTTCGTGGCGGACATTGGGATCAGCCCACGAATTTTTCCGAAATTCCTCCCGGACAGCGACGAGGGGCTATGGAATCGCCCCCAAGTCATTCGAACCAGACCTGTTTTCTTTACCTGAAAGTCAGGGGCAAACGGATTGCATCAAATTTCGAGGAACCATCGGTTCTTAGTCTTGACATCGACCGCCTGCGATAGCGAGAAGGGCCACAATATCATTGAAGAATCGCACGGGTTCATATATTTAAGTCATGTCCCAGAGCGGAGCGACCATTTGGGCGAAACACCAGACGGGCTCAGTTTCCTGGTCGTAGGATATCTTCTTAACTTCCATATGCCTCTCGAGGGGGGTGAGCTGTACGTAGGCAAGGTGAGTGGAAATGAGAGGAGTCTGGGTACTGAAGTTCAGCCTGGCTGGGGAAGCTGCCGAAGATCGTGGACCACGTCCCCGTGCTGGGACAAGCTGACGGCACCGAACTCCCATATCGCGAGTTTTGGACAGACAGACACTTCTTCTTCCGAGCGATGTGCTCGAGGTTCCATCTTGGTTGCGATTCTCCGCAGCTTCACCGCGGTTCCGCCACGATTCCAGTCATTTCCTTCCGCGATGAAATTCCCGCCCTTATCATAATCTCTGAAAACTCCCAATCGTCGATCTCGAGCTGGGAGATCAATAGGAAGTAGCGGTAATCTTCTGGCCACGGATTTGTGGGTCGGTATCTCCACGTAGGCCGAAGTCAGAGACCTCTTTCTGCCAGCGGACGGATTTGTCCGGATGGGAACTCGACATGGTGTGAAAATACTTCCAAGCGCCTGCTTTTCGGTTACTTCCACTTCCCACTTCTCCCGACAGTATGGGGCATCAATATGCTAACATAGGCTTCGGATGGGCCTTGATAAAGTGTGTCTCTGACGTGATGTTTAGCTCTACACGTACATCCGTTCTCGTGGAAAAGCGTCGAATGTACATATGTTTGAAAATACTTTGGATCGAGACTGTATCTCTATCATGGAGTCCGAGAGCGAATCGAGCCGGGTCAATCCGTGGACAAATGTCATGGCACGTCGTGACGAGACTAAGCGATACGCATTCGGGTCCCCACGTCGTACCACTGTCGACGAGTGTTTCGACTCCTCGTGGGAGATATCTTTCGCTCTCCCTCGTGTCTCGAATTTCGTCTCGTGGAATGTTCCTCGCCCTCACGATGGCTTCGAACATTATGAAAACCGAAAAGGGAATGACTAGTTGATCCATGACGAACGAACGTACGTGAAGGATTCTGTGATTCGAGGTGAGACGGTTCAAGGCTGGCGCTGTATGTACAAGAACGCTTCTATTCCCTGTAAAACGCGAGCCTATACCGAGATAGGTTCCGGAACAGTCATTAAGTCGTGAGGGGACCACACCGATCCCGAGGATCCGTCAGGGGTCGAGGTCACGAAAGTCAAATCG